GTAGAAATATACATTTTTTATCTAAATACTAAACTCTTTCAGGGATTTTGCTGATGTTCATTAACCCTTAAAGACCTAGAGGTATTTTGTGGGCACCTAATGGGCCTATATTATTATTTTTTTTAAAAGCAGTTTTATTTTTATTTTAGCAGTCAGCCTCAAGTGTCATATATCATTTTAAACAGGAGAACCTGAAGTTTCAATCTGTATCATTTAATGGTCCAGTCTAAAATATTTTTTGGTCCAAAAACATATGAAAAGACAGAAAATATTCCAGAATTTTCCAGAAACGATTTTTAAAAAAAGTGGCATTTTCCAGTTATTTCAAACAAAACCTTATGAAGTTTGTTTTTCTTTCTTTAGAAATACATGCTATGATGTTTTATACTTCCAAAATAAATTTTGTCTACATCCACAATTCCCTGAGCAAGTTATAGCAATTTATTTCAATGTTATTCCAAGGCGTTTTTCTATGGGGGAAAAAAATGCATTTATTTACTGACAATGTATTTGCCCAAAAGTTCTGGGAATGAACTAAACAGAAAAAAAATGTTACAAAATAATAGAACAGTAAAGCAAATTTGACTTTTTCCAAATAATATATTTTCAGTTACTATAAACAACACCACTTACAATGAACAAATAAAAAAAAATAAGAAAATAATAAATAATTTGTCAAAGTCCAAATAAACATGGTGCAAATCCTCAGTAAAAAAATAGATATAAATATTTACTATACCATAAATAGTTACATAACTAAACTAGATTCAATATGGAACATCCTTAGGTTTTATGTGCCAGCATGGATATGGTTGTCTGTGGATATGGATTTGGATGTGGTTGTATGCAATGCAGACAAACAGCTGCACCTTCATTTGCGTCTTTTGAAAACAGCAAGAGCAGCAGTTCGTCTTTGCTGTGTCACTGTTTTTTCATGTTTCTGTGCTGCTGTGCATGCAAAAGTACTTAGTATGAAAATTATTTCATGCAAAACATGTTTTTTTGCGTTTTATATAGCCGCGCATAAATGTATGCCTATCTCTCATTCTGTGTTGTTCAAAAAGCTTGTTGATCCACAAACAAAAGCGAAACCTATGCTTATTGGTTGTGATATAGCGAGTTTGAACCAATCTGGGCATGGAGGAGGGACAATGCATCAATGTATGATGTCTGGTTTGTCCGGAGACTTAGTGACGAGCGTTTCTTTGTCAAATCAGCGTTGTCAAATTTTGATGACGTAACCGCACTGATTCCGGAGCCTCTGAAAGTCCGCGAATGTTATGTGATACACCACTGGAAAGCTGAGATTCTCTTCTTTATGCCAATCTTTGAATTGTATGAATCGGATCAGCGGATCAAAAGTTATTAAACATTTAAGAGCAATACTTATTTTTAGCCGCGGGCGGCTGTCTCGGTCTTTAAGGGTTAAACATCATTAATAACACTCTTGTAAAAAGAATCCATTAAATAAGTATTATTAAAAATAATATGTATTCAGTATTATATTTAAGTTCTTAAAAACACCTAAGAATAAATGTTATACCCTGTCTTGTCCCTCAGACGAACAATTTTACCACTAGGAACGGTGTATGATAAGTTATTATACTTAGTACGAATTGGTTTATGTCATTCAAATGGAACAACTACGTCTTGAAACCTCACAGAAAAAAGTTGAAACTACAAGGGGACCCACATTAAGACTCTTGGGAATCTTACATTTTAAATTTGTAAATCCTCAACTTTATTTCTAACCTATATATTCATGCCACTGGTTTGTAAAAATATATACATTTAACATATAGAGTATATATAGTTGAAGTCAGAATTATTAGCCCCCCTTTGATTTTTTTTGTCTGATCATATTTTTTCTTCTGAAAAAAGTCTTATTTGTTTTATTTCGACTAGAATAAAAACAGTTTTTAATTTTTAAAACATCATTTTAAGGACAAAATTATTAGCCCCTTTAAGCTATATATTTTTTCAATAGTCTACAGAACAAACCATCGTTATACAATAACTTGCCTAATTACCCTAACCTGCCTAGTTAACTAATTAACCTAGTTAAGCCTTTAAATGTCACTTTAAGCTGTATAAAAGTGTCTTGGAAAAAATCTAGTCAAATATTATTTACTGTCATCATGGCAGAGATAAAATAAATCCGTTATTAGAAATGAGTTATTAAAACTATTATGATTAGAAATGTGTTGAAAAAAAATCTCTTCATTAAACAGAAATTATAGTAATTAAATTATATTAATTAAATCATATTTATTTGTTCATTATTTCCTACAATTCCTTTATTTTTAACAATCAAAAAAATAATAATATTACAGCATGCTTTTGTGATTGTTAGCAAACAAAATAATGTAACAAGTCCTCAGTACCAATAAATTTATAAATCCATAAATAGAAATAGCCAAAATGATCACAAATGTTTTTACAGACACTATAGTGACAGAAAAAGGGAACCAGAGCATCAGAAAAACAATTTATTTTACCCTTTACTCTGAATCAATCTTAAAAAGTGACAGACATTCAAATCTCCACATACGCTGGGCTATTTTTCTGACTTAAATCGAACTTGAAGTTTGCACAGAGAGATCAGACATTTGGAACAAAGCAGGTCTCAGGGTTCTTGACTCTTTTCAATCAGCACTGTAGTATCTTAAAGGTTGACGTCACTGTGCAGGAACGAGCACAATTGCAACACTTCAGAAAGCTTGCGGCTGACTTTGTCACTCCCACCATCTTGGAGCATGTAAAACTGGATCCAGGCAAATAAGTGGCCACTCTCACTGACCCGATTCTGTCGGCAGGCTGCAGGCTTATCAATGGAGCCGGCCGGGAGACACGCTGTGGCAGTGAATAGCTTGTTAACTGAGCAGCGATGGACTGGGATCAGGGGTAATGCCGTCGGAACAGCGCCTGAAAAATCACACCAATGCTACACTCATATAGTCGTCAGTTCTTTCTAAAGCTCGGCTCAGTGACGTCTGATGAAGTCAGTTTGTTTTTCTGAGTGATCAGAATAAAAATGTCTCGCTGTATGGGTTCGGCTGATGAATAATGAATGAAAAATGTGTTTCTTTCACTACTATAAGAAGAAAAACCTACGTCTTTTCATATGAATAAATGCAGTCTTTTATTCAGTGAATGTGAATGGTGAGCATTGCTGTCAAGCAAGAGTTTGCTGTTAATTTATTAAATATTAAAGTTGATATTTAAAGAAAACCAGGGTACATTGTTGATTCACCATGCAGGCTAATGGCCAGGGACTACAAAAAAACATATAGGCAAAACTAAAGTAATCCTTTTGTCTCCTTATGATATATTGAGGTTTTTGAAACAAAATGATATATTTCGTTTTTAGCAGCAAATTTTTCTATACAACAATTGAGTTTTGGTAAATTTGCTGTAGGAAATATCTTAACAGGATGTTTACCTATTGTAATATTGTAATGATTTTTGGCATGAATAAAAATTCAATAATTTTGGTATATATAATGTATTTTTAGCTATTGCCTAAAATATACTCATGTAAAATAAAGCCTGGTTTTGTTGTTCACTTGTCACATATATGCATACTGTAACAATTGTGCTCTCTGGCAACACAAGTGCAAGTGCAAAAAATCATGTTTGTCACACATATAATAGGCATAGATCTAATTATCGTAATATTAGAATTAGATTATGTGGTGTTTTGATAAAGATCACACAATTTTACTGATTAACAGGTCAGCTTTAGTTTCCATAACACTCAAAAAAAGATTTTTGCTATTTGTTCAAACTACTTATTTAAAATGAGTTGAAAACCACAATTTCTTAAGTATTTTGGGATAACTTAATTGTCTTATATTCAATCCACTTAAATATGTAAAATCGATTAAGTGAACTTAGAAAACATGTAGGAATTGTGTGAAGCCCAGCGATGTTTACAGTAGACTCAAAAAAAAAAAAAAGATTTTTGCTACATGTTCAAACTACTTATTTAAAATGGGCCGAATCAATACAAATCTTGAGTTATTTGGGGGACAACTAAATTGTTTTATGTTCAGTTCACTTAAATTTGTATAAAAGATTAACTTGATTTGTGTTGGGACAACATGAAGGACTTGTGTGGGAGCCAGCATTTTTTAAAGTTTACTTTCGTTGAATGCAAGAGGAGACGATCTGACAAAAAAATCATCTTTAGTGATCGCCCCCTGGTGGTTGGCAGCAGTATATGCATTGTACACTTTTGGGAATTGAGCCAGCCTAACATAATACAGATTACACCTCAAACATATTTTTTCTAAACATGGGTCTATCATTTCTCAAGATTCTCATGAATATTCAGTTGTTTTTTATACAAGTTTGCTTTAACGGTGTAAGTAACTGGAGATTAATTTATTATCTGCTCATCAGCTTTATTCATCAGGGATCACCACAACAAAATGAACCGGCAACTTATCCAGCAAATGTTTTACATAGCAGATGGCCTTCCAGCTGCAACCCAGTTCTGGAAAACATCCACTCTCATATGCACACTCATACAATGCAGCCAATTTAGTTCAATTTACCTATACCGCATTGGACTCTGGGAGGAAACCCATGCCAACACGGGGAGAACATGCAAACTCTACACAGAAATGCCAACTGACCCAGCTGGGAATCGAACCAGTGACTTTCTTGCTGTGAGGCGACAGTGCTACCCGCTAAGCCACCATGTAGCCAGAACTGGAGATGTTTCTCCCATTTTATTTTGCAGTCAACAATTGATACAGATTCCATGTATTGTATATGACACACAATTAAAAACTTAATTGAAGTGAGCGTATGCTGTATGTAATTAGTCTATGATTAAGATTATTTACTATTTTTCCTCTGGAGTGCTCCGTATGTTATCTGCATAATGTATAATTAGAAGGACTACTTTCTGAGACACTTGTGCGCTGCTCTGTGTTTTATACATGGACTCGTCATGTGCTAATTGTGTATGTGTGTGTGTGTTTTTTCTGCAGGTATTCACGAGTTCCCTGATGATATCTTCACCCAACAGGAGCGATTGGAGGGGGCTGTAGCTTTGCACGTACTGTGTGTAAGTATCTCTTCCATCTACTTTTCTTTTTGTCAGTGTTTGAGACAGTAGATTGAATGGTTTATTCTAGCTGAAACACTTGAAGTGAGAAGACTGTGTGTTTTATTCAGGCATTGGTAGTGGCAATGTCTGACCTTACCTATACAGTATAAGGCTGCAAAGGATTTTCTAAATGACCTGCTCAGTGTGCACATGAATGAGTTGATCGTGTTAATTTTCAGCTTAATTGAATTCACTTAAAGGGAGGTATTAACGCAGGGAAGGGTTTGTTCAACCTAAATTGTGTCGTGGGAGCTGGTGTCTTATCAGAATGCCTTAGCAACATTTGTTTTCATATAGTTATGTAAAAAAAGAGAGATCACTTGGAAATGTTTGGTTTCTCAGGATTAGGTGGATTTATGGGTTTGAGTAAAAGATGCTTGATTTATTCTATAAAAATTAAATTCTGAAAAATAAAACAAATAAAATGCTAAGCTCTTTTGTTGCATAAAATAATAAGAAGTGCCATGTTCTTATCCGTTTATATTCAAATAAATCATGAAATCCAGAATAAATTCATATTGTCATTCGGAGTAGCTTTTTTGTGTTGTTGTTGTTTGTTGATGTTTTATAAAATAATAGTTGGTCTTATTTATTAAGTAATTTTAAAAAATAGTGATTTCTTAACTCTTCTAATGTTAAAACATTGGTAATATTGGTATTATTTGTTTAATAATAAATATATAAACATGAAAACATGGCCTCATTTTATTATTTTGTTATATTATGTATTATATTATCTTTTTATATAGATTATATGATATGCATATTTTATTTATTTTATCTCAATTTAATATCCTGATATTTGATTATCTTAATTTAGTATTTGGAAGAAATGTCATTAGTAATTTACACTAAAGTGAAAATATTTTTACCGAAACACTTTAATTCACATAAATAAGAAATTCATTCAAATTCAATTCACATAAATCAAAATTCCAGGAGAATGTTAAAGTGTTTTTTTCCCCATACCTATATGCCTGTCTTCTTTGTCCAAAAATCTATTTAAATTGTAGTTTGAATTGTTTGCTTTTCCATAAATGGTATCAAAGATTCTAAAATTATGTAGAATGTGACGAAGCCTGTGCACATTTGCAGATTTTTTTTCAGCTATCAAATGAAACCTGAAAAACTGTCTACCACAGTAATTGTGTATATAGCAATTGTGTATAATAGTCTTTGGCAGTCAGTGCCTGATGACACAATCATTTGTTTACAGTAACACACAATAGATTTCCCTCTGCCAACAGCATTTCCTATAGTTTCTGTTCTTTCATGGATTCTCTTGGGTGTTCTCTTGGGTTTTAAAAGGAGCAAATGTTAAATAACACTAGCAGTTTAAGCAGACACTTTTTTAGTCATGACATGAAGTTGGATTCAATAAAACACACAAATAAACATATATATACTGCAACACCACAAAAGTTAAGGTTACTCAAATCGTTTGAGGAAACTGATTGCAACAAACTATTTAAGTTTAAAAACTAATCCTAATGAGTACTGTGAACTTAATCCATTTGAGTAAATTAAGCAATTTGAGCACAGTAAATCCTGATAAATGAAGATAACTCAAACCAAGTTGAGGCAACTCAAATCGTTTTAGGAAACTGACTGCAACTAACCATTTGAGTAAAAAAAAACTAATCTATATGAGTACAGTGAACTTACTCCATTTATGTTGAAATAATGAGGTATTTAATTAAGTCATTACCTTCACTGAGTTCAAAACTCTTTTCAAATGAACAGAATTATTTTTTTTCAGTCAATTTTGAATTAACTACACTCATTTCATTTGATAAAGTTGACTGTTGGGTTTTACAGTGTAGAAAATCCTACATCTCAAAAAAGTAAATGCTGGGTTGTCGTAAGCCGATGTTAGGTAAAATAAGGAAAACCCCAACACTGAGTTATTTCATTTTTTAAATATAAATCTTTTTAACCCAATGGTTGGGTTTGTCCATATTTGAGCTAACATTGGGTTGTCAATCTAGCATTTATTAAAATGTACATCAATTATACTGTCAAGTAGAAATTAAGTCAGCTGTAGTTTTATTTGTTGTTTCCAAAGAAACTAATGCAGAGTTCAGACTACATGATTCTCAAAGTAGTCACGTCATAGATGTTTTCACACAGCATGACTATCTGGGGTAGTATTCAGTCGCTGCTGTGTTTACACTTCAAGATGATTCAGCCACACGGGGTTTCACATTGCATGACTTCATAATTGGAAGAATAGGAAAATTCAGTCGCTGCTGTGTTTACACTTTAAGATGATTCAGCGACATGGGGTTTCACATTGCATGACTTTATAATAGGAAGAATCGCTGACAGCGTTGTCTCGGTCCGCAAACTACGTCTCACAACAAGACACATGCGAGAAGTGACATGGAAACAGCACGAGCTCAAGTGTGTATCTTTTGCTATTAACTACTATATAATGAGAAAGAAGCCTTTAGTGGGGTAGAAATTGTACTTATTGTGCTTACCTGGGTTTTGGAAGGAATTAGCAACTTCTCTTCTCCTTTTTTCTTTGTTGACCCAGTTGTGATATTGCTCAGATGACACGTTAAGCAGACACGGTTGCTCCTGCTAAATTTACACTAGTTTTTCCTCCATTTCTTGGGTCCAAATAGACTGAAAGAAGCACTTTTAACTTCTCACCCATCCTCTCACTGGCCTGCAGATACTTATACTAGTGGATGCTGCTTTCTCATTGGCTGTAGGTAATCGTCAGTGTTATTTTCAATCAGAACTCCTTTCACACAGGATGATTTTGAATCACAGACAGCTCCATATATTTAGCATGCAAAATATCTCACGAGTGTCGGTGACTCATCTGTGATTTTCTCAAATCTTTGATAGTTCACTGTGTGATTGTTACTCACGTAAACAATCTGTGATTTCAAACATTTGTCTGTGATTTCTCAAAACCTGACGGCAAGTCAAAATCGGGGCTAAAATCATGCAGTCTAAACTCGCCATAAGAGATGAGTCAAAGCTGTTTCTGTGGTAACTGACATCATGCTGCAAGTGATGTTGAGAGAGCTTAATTTATATTGAACCTGAAACATGAATTATGACACTAAAGGAATTAATGTTTTATTGAACTGCCCCAATATGCTTTTTGGATTTAGCCTGTCATGTAGTGTAATGTAGCTTGTCTGTGAATGCACAAGACAAGTGTATGATAAATGGAGTTATTGTCACCCAAAACAAAGAACTGATTCTGAACTGCCTGAAATGTGTCATCAGTAAATCGAGTTTTATTTCAAGCCATTCAAGCGGACAAGCCATTCGTAGGTTTTTAACAGTGTCAGTTTTGAGCCTCAAATGCTGTAGTTGTTACTGAGTCCTGGTAGGGTTTTGTTTTGTTTTGTTTTGTTTTGTTTTGTTTTGTTTTGTTTTGTTTTGTTTTGTTTTGTTTTGTTTTGTTTTGTTTTGTTTTGTTTTGTTTTGTTTTGTTTTGTTTGGTTTGGTTTGTTTGGTTTGGTTTGGTTTGGTTTGGTTTGGTTTGGTTTGGTTTTGTTTTGTTTGATTTGGTTTGGTTTTGTTTGGTTTATTTTTATTTATTTTATTTGTATTTATTTTTATTTTATTTTACTTTACTTTATTATTTTTATTTTATTTAATGTTTATATTAATTTGTTGATTTATTTTATTTTATTTATTTTTATATTCATTTATTTGTTTGTTTGTTTTTATTTTATTCATTCATTTTATTCATTTTACTTTTAATTTTTTTATTTTTTTATTTTAACTTAATTTAATTGTATGTATTCTTTCTTTTATTTTTTTACAGTTTTTTTCTTTTCTGATGTTAAGTGCTTTGAGACATACCTTTATAGGCACTACAGAATTTATTATTATTGTTATTATTATTATTATTATTATTATTATTATTATTATTATTATTATTATTATTATTATGTTCCATCCCCATCGTTGCTAGCTATCAAAGTGAAAAGCGTTCATCATGCATGAGGATCTCCTGCCCCCATAGGCCATGTCTGAGCACACTTTTAAGTGAAGCATGCCATGTGAAGCAGGTGCTGATGCAGTACTGTGTGTTCCTGCTGAAATCCCCTGCAGGCTTGGTTTGACACAGCCATTGTTGTGCGTTGTTTAGGTAGTTGCCCATGTAAGCGGAGAGTGAGTGGATGGTAAAAGCTGCAGTGAAAACCCTCTAAGACTCCCTCCAGCTGTTTACATGTTTTATTTATCTTTAGGGGCTTCGGTAGCCCGGCTCTGCCTTGTCAGAAGGTCAAGAATAAAAGGAAGGGGAGGGAATGAGAGTGGAGCGGACAGGGATTACATAATGGGCACACAGTCGAGCATGGCAGTGTGCATGGCGGCTGAATTAGATGCACTGATTGGCAAAGTCTTGGCGGGGAAACAGTTGGCAAACGGGTCCCATGGGTGAATGGAAGCTTGCTTTGACTGAATAGTGTGCGATTGTGTCCATATGTATGTATGGCAATGCAAGTACTGGGTGAATCCATGCTCAAATAACATGCAAAACGTGTATAATTAGAATTTGTTTATTTAAAAGGATAATTTGCCCAAAAATGAAAATGTCTTCATCATTTACTTAAGCTCAAGTGATTCTAATCTTTCATGATTTTTGTTTTTTCTGTTGAACACAAAACAAGATATTCTGAAGAATATTGGAACCAGCAGCCACTTTCATCCATGGCAACAAAAATAGTATGGGGGTTAATGGCTGCTGCTTTACAACATTCTTCAAAATATATATTTTTAGTTTTCAACAATCAAAAAAATAATAATAAATGTAAGTAAATGATGACAGAAATATTTGAAAATATTTCTATGTAAAATGTGCAGATTATGCCCTGTGTAATATTTATTTTCCATCAGTAAAAAAAAAATCCAGTAAATTCAGACACCCAAAATCTTAATATCTTGTGACTGTGGTGAAATCTGGTGGCTTGTGATTGTATAGAATTATCAAAAATAGCAATAGAAAGTAAATGACAATAGTTTTTGGTGGGGTCTGTGTTTTTGTAGAGGATGTTTGTCTATATGTGAGAGAGGGAGAGAGAGATTGAGAAAGAGAGAGAGATTGAGAAAGAGAGAGATTGGGAAATATTGAGCTTGCTATACAGGCTTAGACAGATGGGTTTGCTTTGTTTTAGATTTGTTGAACAAGTAAAAAAGAATGCTTAGAATTTTGTTTATTGGTTTAATGGAAAATTTGTTTCCCATCAATTTGCCATCGGTGCCCATTTTGGGGCACAGTGAGAAAATTGAGAGGATTTCTGTTTGTTTTCATTCATTCATTCATTTTATTGTTGGCTTAGTCCCTTTATTAATCCGGGGTCGCCACAGCAGAATGAACCGCCAACTTATCCAGCAAGTTTTTACGCAGTGGATGCCCTTCCAGCCGCACCCCATCTCTGGGAAACATCCACACACACATTCACACACACACTCATACACTATGGACAATTTAGCCTACCCAATTCACCTGTACCGCAAGTCTTTGGACTGTGGGGGAAACCGGAGCACCCAGAGGGTGCCCACGTGAAGGCAGGGAGAACATGCAAACTCCACACAGAAACACCAACTGAGCCAAGGTTCGAACCAGAGACCTTCTTGCTGTGAGGCAACAGCACTATCTACTGCGCCACTGCCTCGCCTCTGTTTGTTTCCACTTAAATTTATTGAATCAAATCCCCTTTTTTATGTGCTCAGATGGCAAATTTCAAAAACTAAATCTGGCCAAGTCTTGAACAGCTTAGATTAAAGAAACTATTTTTGAAAGCTAAATGATTTTTATCAAAGCTAAATGATTTTGCCCCACCCAAAAAAGTATTTTTAAAGTTTTTTGAAATGGTTAAATGCTATGAAATGGTTATTCATAGCAGTATTTTCACCAAAGATATATGCCGTTCAGGCTGCATGGTGGCGCTGTGGGTAGCAAGATCTCACAGCAAGAAGGTCGCTGGTTATAGCCTCGGCTGGGCCAGTTGCCATTTCTGTGTAGAGTTTGCTTGTTCTCCCCTTGTTCGTGTGGGTTTCCTTCGGGTGCTCAGGTTTCCCTCACAGATCAAAGACATATGCTTGAAGTGAATTGGGTCAGATAAAATTGACCGTAGTGTATGTGTGTGAATGAGTGTGTATGGGTGTTTCCCAAAGATGGGATGCTGCTGGAATGGCATCTGCTGCGTAAAACATATGCTGGATAAGTTGTTGGTTCCTTTTGGCAACCCCAGATTAATAAAGGGACTACGCCGAAAATAAAATGAATGAATGAATATATGCCATTGATGCATTCTTTGGGAATTAAACCCACTGGCTTGTTCTTGTAGTATGTTTGTGTATACAGTACAGTACATGCACTTATACACATACATGTTGCATGTTGAGAGGTCATGACATCTGTGACTCACACACACCCATCTGACCAGAGCAGATGTTAGAGCAGCTTATCCCCACATGCACTTCTTTTGTGCAAAAACATGTTAGACACTATATAAAGCATCAAGAATGAAGAAAAAAACATCCCTATTGTGTGTGAGACAAAATAAACTTTAAGTCCATCACTCTGTAAAGGGCACCAGCTTCCATCAGTCTCTTTCTGTCATGAAAAGACTTTCTAAGAAAAGGTCTGCATAGTCCCAGTAGACAGACGTCCCAATGGAGGACAGATTGCTCTGAGAATAACAGAGTTTAACAGTGTCAACACTCATATACTCAAATGTGCATGCAGGAATTTCACTTTGCACACATTTTGCCCTCCCCGCAGTGGCTTCTATTTTTTTTTTTAAACTTATGTAATATGAGGCTTTATTTTATGGCATCAATAGCAATCTTATTTAAGGTGCTATTTTTTCAGACTGGACCACTATGACATTATAGGAATAAAATAGAAGTCTGTCATGTTTTTTCTCACCCTTTTGTCTTTCCAAACTCAAATAGATTTGCTTTTAATAGAGAATTGTGATTTTTTTTTTTTTATTCCGTAGTGGTTATTAACCTCTTTTCGCACATTCTCCTTTTGTAAACAGCATTTGACTTTTCCAGTGGTTTGTTGTTTACTGAAAAACAAATTCAATACACGCAAAAAAATATTTATTTTTTGCTTGTTCAAACTACCTATTTAAAATAAGCTGAATCAACACAATTCTTAAGATTTCATTGGGACAACTTATTTTTTTAAGTTCAATCCACATAAATTCGTTAAGTGTTAAGTTAACTTAATTTGTGTTGTGACAACATGAATGGTGTGGAACCCTGCATTTTTTTACAGTTTACTTTACAGATATTCTATAAACTAATATACATTAAAAAAAATAAAAAATAAAACAGTTGGTTTAACTTAATTTAATCATGACACACATCTCCACTCATTTCAGTTGCTTTATTTCAACTTATTTTAAGCAAATGGAGCACAACATACATTTTTATTTTTAACCAGTAATGTCAAAATCACTTTATATAAAATGTCAAATCACTTCAAATTCCCAGCTTACTGTTGTTAAGTCAATTAATCTCAATCACTTAATCCTGACAACCAGAAGTGTGTTAATTATTGTTGTTTAAATTGAACAACTCCTTCAGTAATGCTTTCTATTGACTGAGAATGATCTCAGAATAGCATTAGCACAGCCATGGGTCACTAAATGAACCAACAAGCACCAGTGGATTTTTGCCAACACACAAAACATGAGTGCTTCTCTTCTGCAAGGCAGCAATCTAAAAATTGAGTGAAGAAAACATCCAAAAATTCTTTCTTATAATTTAAAATACCTAATATTATCGATTCATACCCACGCAAAGCATGCTAGGAACTACACATCCGCTACATAGGTATTTACACCAACACAATTCCTTTATCTTCAACCAACACAAAATGATTAAGCTAACATACTTTTTTTATGAATTTGCATAATTTAATCAATTTTAAGTGTATATGATTGGTCTTAAATCAAACTAGGCAGGTTATCAAATGGTCTGATGTGAGTTTAAAGGTCTCTGGAAATCAAAATCATTTTTTTTTTTTTTTTAGTGTAGGAGTATTATTAATTTTATTAGTTTTAAGGATATATCTAAAAATTGCAATTAGAAGATATAAAACTAATATTATTTATTACATAGTATATTATATATAAATCTGAAGCTTGCAGTTTGTCACTTGGACTTAAATGGATAAAAAAAAATTCACATCACCTCATACTTCAATACATACATCAAATCTTGACCAATCAAATGCTCTCTAGTATCAGACATGCCCCACCCACTTCAAGAGGCTTCTCATTTGCTTTTCATTTAGTGCGCTTGAGCTCAACCACTGTCACTAGCAGAGCTGTGATAAAAACAAAATGCTATTAGCTGATTTTAAAAAGGGGAGTAACTACTCTATGTCCCACCCTCTCTTCATATTTCAGTTGAGAAATTGAATAAAATTGCACATTTCAAAGCAGTTCATTTAAAATCTTAATCCCACCAGAGGTCATTAAAGCAACAAATTGCTGATTTTGGCGTAATGAGAAAATGTATAATCATAACAAATACAGCCTGTGAGTTTTATGAGTTAATTAATTTATTTGAGTTTTCCTGGTCTGGAAATAGGCTTAAATATAGGCTTATTTTCACAAATACTTTAAGAAAGGTTGTATTAAAAAATTAAATATCTTGAATTTTAGTTGTTTGTACTATTTAAAGCCACCTTGAGGCCATGTGCTTTTCTATTTACTATTTCTCTGTAAATGTGTCCCTGTGTTGTCAAAATTATTATGTTAAATGCTAATTGTGTTCACTCTTTCTCTCTAAAGGCCATGTATATGTTTTACGCACTGGCACTGGTGTGTGATGACTACTTCGTGCCCTCTCTGGAGAAGATCTGTGAGGTGAGACATTCACTGAGTCTTAGTTAGTGGTCTATAACTGATTAAATTATATGTATGAACAATAAATAAATACTATAAAAATATTACAAATAGACGTTTGATGGTGAAAATGGTGTGATGGAAGTTTTGGTTTGTTTTGTTAATGCTCTCAATTCTCACCTGTAAAATTTATAGTTGGAATGTGTGCACATCGCTCTTTGCATGTGCAAACCACGTGTCTCAATTTGAAATAACAAACTTGAGCACACAAAAAACGTAATATATAAATGGCCCCTTATTATTTTGAGGCTGGCTCCTCGCTAAATATAGGATGTCATATAAAGAGATATACGGTATATTGACGTTTGACCACTGGCATAAGGGAGAAGTGTTTCAAATTTATATTGCTTATCATTCTGACCATTCTGTTTTGGTACACAATCCTAACTCACTTATCTTTTGTGTCTCTCTTTCTGTCATTTGTTGTGCTTGAACTTGCTTCAGCGCTTACACCTGAGTGAGGACGTAGCAGGAGCCACATTCATGGCAGCAGGAAGTTCAGCTCCAGAGCTCTTCACTTCAGTCATAGGTATGCCCAAACAGAATCAGATTTTTTTAGGGTCTTTTTATTTACCTATGTGTAAATGTATGTGTGTATATGTAAATGTGTTTACATATATATTTATCTAACTTTTATATTTATTTCAGTAATATCATTAACTAATATGCAAATGTTTATATGATTCATCTTGTAGTGCAGTTTGTAAAGTAATATCCCAGCAAACAACTTTGTGTTTAAAAGACATCTAATAGACATCTACTTTATAGGTGTTGTCATTCTATTCTGTCTATTTGATGACTAGTCTAGTTTTGACCTATTCTTAGATGTCTATTAGATTTTCACTGTCAGCCCAAATGTAGCCTTGTTTTAGCCAAGACTACTATGTTTAGACGTCTATTAGATATCTATTAGACATCTTTAAAAAAATGATATAAAATTTTATATACAGTTGAGGTCAGAATTAATAGCCCCCCTGAATTATTGGCCCCCCTGTATATTTTTTTCCCAATTTCTGTTTAACGGAGAGCAGATTTTTTCAACACATTTCTAAACATAATAGTTTTAATAACTCATTTCTAATAACTGATTTATTTTATCCTTGCCATGATGACAGTAAATAGTATTTGACTATATATTTTTTCAAGACACTTCTAAACAGCTTAAAGTGACATGTAAAGGCTTAACTAGGTTAATAAGGTTAACTGGGCAGGTTAGGGTAATTAGGCCCTGTTGTTATTGTATAACGATGGTTTGTTCTGTAGACTCTTGAAGAAATATAAAGCTTAAAGGGGCTAATAATTTTGACCTTAAAATGGGTTTTAAAAAATTATTTTTATTCTAGCCGAAATAAAACAAATATGACTTTTTCCAAAAGAAAAAAATATTATCAGACATACTGTGAAAACTTCCTTGCTCTGTTAAACATCATTTGGGAAATATTTAAAAAAGAAAAAAAAATTCAAAAGGGGCTAATAATTCAGACTTCAACTGTATATATAATACAAGAGACTAGTTTTGTTTGCCAAACAAGTGGATCTAATTGGATTTGCCTTGTAAATATAAAATAAAAGTTTAAAAAGTTATTATTTTAAAAATTATTTAGTTACTATACTCCCGCATTACATAAATACATCCTATAACAAATAAAATAAATACATTTTAACATGTGTTTGTCAATGAGTGGGAGTTTTGCTGCTTATGTGTCCTGTGTTTTCGCAATTTAATAAAAAAGTTGCAAGTGTAAAGTTGCACAAAAGTAATATATATAAGCAGCCCCATCCCACATTAATGCACTTTTTACAAAAATTACAAAATTCTGTGCAGAAATAGCAAATAAATGTCCACAGTTTCTGTCTGGCACAGGTCATCGTTAAACATCAAGCTGATCCAAACACGGCCTGCTTTTGAAAACCTGTATCTCTCACATAGACCTTCACGTGCCCCTTTGTTAGTCACCCTGTCCTGTGTGCAGGTGTATTTATCACCAAAGGAGATGTGGGAGTGGGAACAATCGTGGGATCTGCTGTCTTCAATATCCTCTGCATCATCGGAGTGTGTGGGATCTTTACTGCGCAGGTGCTCTTTAGTTTGCACATTAACACCCTCAAAAGCTTTTCACACACAAAGGTGTTTCAGACTAATTAAAATGAAAAGGTTTCTTTGTCTCTCTTTCAAATAGCATCTTAGTCAGCATAAACAAGGCAGCTCTGAAAAAAAATAAATAAATAAACTATTAAGACATTAATTGACATTCATTTAGGCAAAGTTAACACTTTCATTTTAACCCTTTAACTGGCCCACCCAGAAAAATAATTTTGTATTTCATTTCTTAACTTTCTTAACTTAACACACTTAATGCATCAATGCAAGGTATCAATCTTTATTAAATGGTTGATTTGTCTGTTTATAGCGAAACTACAGGAATTAATACATATATTATGAAAAATATGAAAATATGAAGTGTAAAATCAATTAATTTAAAAATATAATAAAAATAAAACATTTCTGAATAATAAATCATCTTTATTTTTTTGAAGTATGCCATAAAATATTTTAGATTCTCATTAAACATGTTTTTTTTTTTGCAATAAAACCAAAATCAAGTGTAGCAGTGCAACAGGATTGTTTGTTGGATTTTTTTGTAAAACAACAATGCTGTGTGTGTAAACCTAGGGAGACCCGGAAGGGACATGATGGTGGGGAAAAAATGAGTGGGAGAAAAAAATGAGTGGGAGAAGAAAAACCAGAGTGATAGGAAAATATATATTTTTAAGTTTCTTCGCAAAGATGTTTTTTTCGAGGGAATGCAAATATGCTTTGTGAGGAAATTGTAAAGATGTTTTGTGTTCCCTTGCAAAATAGTTTTTCCACAAACACTTCCTGTTCAATTCATACATGTCAACTCTACCCTTTTTGCCAGGATTCTCCTGTGTTTTACCGTTCTATCCCACTATTATGCTATCATTAACTATTTCCCCATATTTGTCATATATTTGTAATTTTGAAAGCACGCCAAAATTAATGTAAAATGTCTGCATTCACTTTCTTTCCAGTAAAGCTGTGCGGCGATCATCACCCTTCACATGCAGCCTTTGTACAGTCCATTTAAAGTGACATCTCTGTTATCAAACAAGGGAAGAGTGGTAAATTAGTCTCTTGTTCTGTTTTGATTAACAAATGTTTCACTTTAGGAATGCACAGATCTAATGAAAGCATTTGATTACTTTAGTTACTGTTTGTGCTCATTTAAGGGAAAATGAGTTTTATTTAAAATGTACACACCCAAACACACCCAAATTCCAAAATGTCCCACTCTTTCGCTCTTCTTTAAATGGCATGTACAGAAGCTGATCTGGGATCAGTTTATCATACGGAGTGCGTTGATCGCTGCACAGCTTTGATGGAAAGAAAGTGAATGCAGACATTTTTATATTAATTTCGGCATGCTTTCAAGATTACACATATATGAGAAATATAGGAAAATACTTAATGATGGTAGGATGATAGTGGGATAGAATGGTAAAATACGGGAGAATCCCGTAAAAAAAAATGTTAGGGTTGACATGTATGAAGTGAACAGGAAGTGTTTGTGGAAAAACGGTTTAGCAAGAGAACACAAAACATCTTTGCGAGGGAACACAAAAACTTTAAAATAAATATTTTTCTGTCACACTTTTTTTTCTTCCACCCATTTTTTTCCCACCATCACGTCCCTTCCGGGTCTTCGTATAAACCATTATCTAAAACACAGTCATTCTTTAAATAACATTTTACATTTTTTATTTTAAACAGTCAAATATGGCCAACCCTTTGGTAGAGCAGGCAGTTAAAGGGTTAAGTCTGAATTAATGTCAGTTAATGCACCTTCATGAACACTAATAGAATCTCTACACTTTTGCAGTAAGGCGTTATTTTCCTTTTGCCAGTCGACACAAGTGTACCAAACGAACATTATTAATTCTCTGCTTCTGTGCAAGGTTGTTTTAGAGATGAATGGGGTGACCTGTGTGTCCCCCCTACTACACCTCTGCACTAGAAAAGCCATTACTTAGTGTCGACTGACAGTGAGAAGAGCGCAGACGGTTCTCAGAGGTCACTGAGAGTAGCTGATGAGGTCAGCCATGTTAGCAGTGGAGTTGCTTTTTTTCCATCCTGTCCTCTTTGCTTTCCACTTCATTCAGTCATTCACACTGCTTTGGTTTAACCTCCTGAGACCCTCTCAATGTTAAAGAAAAGAGGATACGAGGTTATTGTGTCTTAACTGCTTTAGTTTTTTATTGTTTTGTTTATTTATTCACCCGGTTTTCTCCAGTCGCTGTCTGGAAGAGGAAAGTCTGCTGTAACACTGTTGTTTTTCATGTAATGCTAAAATGAGAAAGAAACCTATGTAATAGTAATCATTGAATTTTACTGTAATATAGAACATTTAATACAATCTTGGCAGTTCATTCTGCTGTGGCGACCCCTGATAAATTAGAAACTAAGCTGAAGGAAAATAAGAATAATACAATGTTTGAATTTAATGTTTTTTTAAATATTGTTTCATGTAACTGAGCTAAAGCTAACTAATAGTGCAAAGCTGAATAAAGTCAATTATATAAAGTAAAACATATACTACCAGTCAAAAGTTTGGGGTCAGTACAATTACAATTTTAAAATAAGCTTCTCCTGCTCACCAAAGCTGTATTTATTTAATCAAAAATACAAAACAAATTGTAAAATATAAACACTCACTGGCCCTTTATTAGGTACACCTGTCCAACTGCTCGTTAACACAAATTTCTAATCAGCCAATCACATGGCAGCAACGCTATGCATTTAGGCATGTACACATGGTCAAGATGATTTTCTGTAGTTTAACGCGAGCATCAGAATGGGGAAGAAAGGTGATTTTGGTTGACTTTGAACATGGCATGGTTGTTGGTGACAGACGGGCTGGTCTGAGTATTTCAGAAACTGCTGATCTACTGGGATTTTAACTCACAACCATCTCTAGGGTTTACAGAGTTAATGGTCTGAAAAATACAAGATATCCAGTGAGCAACAGTTCTGTGGGTGCAGATGCCTTCATTCCGGATTTCAGAGGTCAGAGGTGAATGGACAGACTGCTTTGAGCTGATAGAAAGGCAACAGTAACTCAAATAACCACTCGTTACGACTGAGGTATGCAGAAGAGCATCTATGAATGCACACCACATCAAATCTTGAGGCAGATGGGATACAGCAGCAGAAGACCACACCAGGTACTGCTCTTGTCAGATAAAAACAGAAACTGAAGCTACAATTCACACAGGCTCACCAAAATTGGACAATGGAAGATTGGAAAAATGTTGCCAGGTCTAATGAGTCTCGATTTCTGCTGCGACATTTGAATAGTAGGGTCAGAATTTGGCATCAGGAACATGAAAGCATGGATCCATTCTGCCTTGATTTAACGTTTTTAGGCTGGTGCTGGCGGTATAATGGTATGGGGGATATTTTCTTGGCACACTTTGGACCCATTAGTACCAAATTGAGTTTCATGTCAACGCCACAGCCTACTTAACTATTGTTGCTGACGATGTCCATCCCTTTATGAACCCAGTGTACCCATCTTCTGATGGCTACTTCCAGAAGGAGAACATGCCTTAAAGCGTGTATCATCTCAAACTGGTTTCTTGAACATGACAATGAGTTCACTGTACTCAAATGGCTTCCACAGTCACCAGATCGAAATCCAATAGAGCACCTTTGGGATGTGTTGGAATGGGAGATTCTCATCATGGATATGCAGCTGACAAATCTGCAGCAATCAGATCTGTTATCATGTCAATATGGAGCAAAATATCTGAGGAATATTTCCTGTACCTTGTTAAATCTATGCCATAAAGGATTAAGGCAGTTCTGAAAGCAAATGGGGCTCCAACCCAGTACTAGTAAAGTGTACCTAATAATATATATATGCACGGTGGCGCAGTGGGTAGCATAGCATGATCGCCTCACAGCAAGAAGGGCTGGGTCAGTTGGCATTTCTGTGTGGAGTTTGCATGTTCTCCCTCCAGTTTCCCCCACAAGTCCAAAGACATGCGCTATAGGTGAATTGGATAATCTAAATTGAGATTATCAAACAAAAAAAATGAGAATGAAAAAACAAACACATTAAAAAAATAACAAAACTTATGAGTTAGTCACTGAATCATTAGTTTATTTGATTTGATTTATAACTCATTCATTCTAAAATAAAATAAATGGCTCTCTTTTTCTTTTGTTCACCCAATTTTTCACCAGTCAACTGTATGACATGTTAAGTATGTCTTGGGTGTGTGCATTAAATGCATTTACAAAAATAACACATGCGTCGAATAACTAATTAAATTAACATGTTAAATCTACAGGCGTAAAAATCCATATTTATTTTCATGTAATAATTTATTCATATTAATATGTATATGCAGTACTTAGCATTTCAGCATTTTTGTTTTCATGGCAAAATAAGCAACCTCTATTAACGATTGAGCAAATCATTCCCAAATTGGCACAAGGCCACAAGACACTTATACACTTGCACATAGAGTCCATCAGAGTCAAGGGGGAAAACACATCTGCAACAATGGTGCTTCTGGTTGCCATGGAAACACCAAGCAAAGCCTGTCACCTGTGGTGTAAGTGAAGCGGTGCTGGCGTGAGCGATGGCGCATTACTTCCGGTGCTCTGACGTACATCAATGCTTTTTATGGAAGGATCGCCCTCCACAACATGACACACATTCAATATGGATTACTTCCTGTGGTTTGGCTAGCTGGATTCAGTACAGGATGTCACATCCAAATATGGTTCCTACTTCATTCATTTCCTTTGGCCAATTCCAATTCACTCACTTTCATGCAGCATTCTGAAGTTTGCAAGCCTGGACTGTCTAACTTTTGAAAAATAAATAATAAATAATACATCTGGAAATAGTCACAGAGTACACATTATGTAAGGAGTAAAGGCATGACAAGCACATTTTAAAATCCTTTAATACCCAGGTTTGCAACTGGGAGACCATGAATGGATAAAAGTATGCAATATTAATGTGTGGAAAAGGGATGTTTTGAACAGGGCTCCTATATTATTCTAGGCTGTATTCATACTTGACACGTTCGGCTTGATAAAATCAAACTCAGATATGACTGCTTTATTAGTTTGGTTCAGTTGAATAAGTGTAAGCTCTGCTGTCCAATCCTTTATGAACACTAAATAAGTAAACCAAGATGCTGAAAAGATTGAATTCAATTGAATTTGTTTATTTCTATAGCACTTTTACAATGTAGATTGTGTCAAAGCTGCTTTTAACATATAAGATCTAGTAGATTGAAACTGTGTCAGTCCAGTTTTTAGAGTTGATGTTCAGTTTAGTTCAGTTCAGTGTGGTTGAAATTTCACTGCTGAAAGTCCAAACACTGAAGAGCAAATCCATTGATGCTCAGCTCCACAAGTCCCAAACCAAGCAAGCCCGTGGTGAGGAACGGGCTTTGACCAAATTGACCAAAATGAAGGAAAAAAAAACCTTAAGAGAAACCAGGCTCAGTTGGGCATGAGCATTTCTCTTCTGGCCAAACTTCCTGTGCCAGTCTAGGTCTGCAGTCTGGGATAAATGCGGAGACTCGTCTCTCACTGGGGTCTTTCAGGAATTAATCTCATGTTCTTCAATCCTCCATCAGCTCAGGATATGGCCTGGTCCAGGATTATGGATACCTTGGCATCATCTCTTCACAGGAAAAGATGGCTCCGAATGTACTCTGCTGCATTATGAATGAAATAGGAACATGAAACAGACCAAAGACATCTAAACAAACCATAAATTAAAACTGGACCATAAAAAGGAAATAACGTTCAAGCATACCAGTTTCTTCCACATTATGTTTTTAATTCTTCTCACTACAGTTCAATACAGATTTCAGAAACTGCAGACCTTAATACGGGGCCAGCAGAAAAAAATTCTGTCACTGTTTTGACCTTTTTATACAATTTATTAGCGATTGACAACTTTTTCAGCTGATAAAATACAGAAAAGTCTTGTTTTAATCTGTAGGTTCAGTTTTTAAAAACTTCCATGTGAATGTTGTCATCAAGGACCAATATTATCATTATATCAATAGAATATTGCTTGACTGTCTGCCAATCAGATTCAAAAACCACAAAGAACTGTTATATAAGTAAATATATCAAAATATTTACGATTCTGTCAATATTTTAACCGATTTAAAATGCTGCAAAAAAGGTTGTATGCTGTACAATATATTCATAAAGTAGTAGTTTTCCATATGTTGTGCTATGCTATTATTTTCCCTCTTTATTTATGCTTTTAAAGTGCATTATGGGACCTTTTTCTTTCTTCCAACAAATTTTAACCTTGAAAAGTTTGAAAAGGTGACTTTTGTTTACTTTTTTAATAGTTTAAAGTGATATATGGGTTGGGTTGATGTAGTATATTACAGTACAAAAACCTTGTAATAAAGTGACAGTACATTTCCTATCAATTTACAGACTTATTTTTATATAATATTAATTATACTTTATATTATATTAAACTACTAAAATGTCAATAAAAGTCCCTGTGTTTAACTGTAGAGTTGATTTTTCAACAATAAAACTTGACAGACCAGAGATCTTCGTACCATAATGCAATTCACATCCGCAAATAAATAGATAAACTTGTTAATCACAAAATACGCAAACTGTTAATTAACAGATCTTTACAGTGTGATTTAAAAATCATTATGAATTGGAATGAATGGAAGAATCACAGTATTCCTATGTGTAATGGAAGTAACAGACAGGAACAGCATTGTTGAAAAAAGTTCAATTCAAGTTTTGCTTATTTTATTTTTTAATACCTGCACTGTCCAATCAGATTCCGTCCTGCCTAAAAAACACTTAAAGGGACAGATGTAAAAACTGTAATGAAATAAGCACTTTTGTGCATTGTTGTGGTCACTAATACGGTCATCTTTGTCATAAGAGTTTTTCTGTCTGAACAGTCAGGCCTGTAGCGAGCCAAGTGAAAGGTGTGGTTCTTTTTTTCCAAAAGTGGACCTTTTTGCAGTTATTCATCTCATTTTCTATTTTATATTATATTTAAACACTGCATTTAAAGCTGGATGTTAATTAAATACCTCATTTCTTCAATTTAAATGGAGTAAGTTCACAGTACTCATATAGATTATTTTTAACTCAAATGGTTTGTAGAAATCAGTTTCCTCAAATGGTTTGAGTTGCCTTAACTTAATGGGTTTTACAGTACTCAGTTGGTTTGAGTTCTCTTCATTTATCGGGTTTTGCTGTGCTCAAATTGCTTCATTTATTCAAATAGAGGACAGTACTAATAAAGTTCAGATTTTGAACTTAAATGTTTTGTTGCATTCCCAGAAATGGGTTGCTGCTGGAAGGTCATCCACTGCGTAAAAACGTGCTGGATAAGTTAGCAGTTTATTCTGCTGTGGTGACCCCGGACTAATAAAGGGACTAAGCCGAAAAGAAAACGGATGGATAAATATTGTGTTGCAATTGGTTTCCTCAAATGGTTTGAGTTACCACAACTTTTGGGGTTTTACAGTGTATATTTATTACATCCTATATCATAAAAAAAAAAATTAAATCTGTTTTAAAGTTTTAAATTAAAAAAACTGTAGCCTACTCTCATTTAGGCAGATAACAAACTGGCTGGCACATTCAACTTTCCTCAGTCAGAATTTGTCCATAAAAATAAATAAAAGTTAATAATAATAACAATAATAATAATGTACAGCTTCACAATTTTTCTAGCCTCTCTTGTGAAAAAAGTACATTTGCTAATTCATGGATAATAACTGCAATAGCCAAAATAGTATTTCAATATATAGATTATAATATGAGCCGCTTTTGGTGCTTCAGACCTTTTTAATGGTCATTTTAGTTTTAGGAATAAGATCCAATTTTTAGTATAAAAGTTACTTATAAAATGTTTTCTCTATTTAGCAATAAGAAAGTAGCAAAAGATGACTTCATTTTTGTCAGATTGAATGTGTTCTTGCACAACTGAATGTTGGACTCATGAAAAGTATCTGTTAGACTTGGCTAAAACTGATTAGCTGAAGTCACACTGACAGCCGACAGAGGATTCCACTTGATCTTAAAGCCTTTTTCGATGGGTTATTTTAAACATTTATGATAATATAGTAGTCTAAATAGGACAAATTAGCTCAAGTATGGGACAAATTTTGGACCTTTGTCAATGGGGGGTTGGTCTTCCGAACCACCCAAACCCCACCCTGACTATGGACCTGACAGTCTTTTATTGTGTGTGTTTGGTGGGTAATAGTATAAACCATCTCTTCATTACCTATTCTCTCTCTCCTCTGTTGATACAGGCGGTCAGGCTCTCTTGTTGGACGTTAATGAGAGACTCTACGTACTACACTATCGCAGTGGCCACTCTGATCGTGGTGAGTACAACTTTAAGTGGCTTTTCATGCTCCCATGTTGCCTTTGGGCCTCCTCGCGCAGCAGGAGAGGAGAAGCGAGTGGCTCTCCCATGGGGCCCATGGCCTGCAGCAGGGGCCTCTTTATTTGCCCACACTCTGCATGTGTTTCTCAAGCAGATGAACAACAAACACAGATTAATAGTACACAGGACATCGAGTATTGGAGATTTTACTCAGACCACCTCATTAAAAATTGGATTCACTGGAAGTACAAACTGCAGTGCAATAGTTTATACTGTTACAGTTGAAAAATGGCATGCCTCTAACAATTTACTACATTAAATGGTTTTAAATTTTTGATTTGCATGATAGCAGTGTTTATGATTTTGTTTTGTATATATCAGACATATGTAGTAGAGTTCTAATATGTAAATGTATGAATATATATATATATATATATATATATATATATATATATATAAAGGCTACTGCAGATAATGTTATTTGTCACAAAATATATTATATTATATTATATTATATTATATTATATTATATTATATTATATTATATTATATTATATTATATTATATTATATTATATTATATTATTAGAGATTGCTATACACAGACGCACAAAAAAAAAAACATCAAAGAAAGGTCAATTTAATGAATAAAGCCTCAGGGCCCAAATTACAGTAAGATAAGTCTGCCCTCTGGTGGTCATATGTAATGATTCAGGAAAAAAAATGAAGGAACAATTTGTTCTTTTTCTGTATAACTTAAACTTTTACTCTTATCTTTTTCTTCAAGTTCATCTATGATGAGAAGGTGACATGGTAAGGTCATTTACACCTCAACATATTCATTCATCACATTACATGTTTCACGTTCTGCCTTGTATTTAGTCCTTTTTTCTGCTTTCTCTCCTCCCAGGTGGGAATCGCTCATCCTAATAGTGCTGTACCTGGTTTACATTTTAATAATGAAGTAAGTTCTTCTTTATTCTGTCGCCATGGAAATGTTTCATTATTACACGTATTCATTGCTATTCGGATCTACTCCACATCAGTAAATTGCATCACTGCTGATTTTATTAACTCTCCTTCCTTGGTGTTAATCAGATTTAACTCACGGGTGGTTCATTTCATCGAACGGCGGAAAAAGAACCCTGCAAATCTGGGTAACGGCACAGCCAGTAACACAGACATCGATGACGGCTGCGACGCCACAGTGGTGCTGCTTAAGAAAGGTAATAATTCAATACCTCGCAGTAAGAAAGGTAATATTACAGTACATGTTTCATATGAATCATGTCATGTGTGCAACTGCTGGCTCTTCATTCTAAATTTCTGCTCTGCTGTTCTGTCCATTAGCAAATTTCCATAGGAAGCCATCAGTGCTGATGGTGGACGAGCTCTTGTCTGCATATCCTCATCAGCTGACCTTCTCTGAGGCAGGAATGAGGATTATGATAACCAGCCATTTCTCTCCTCGCACGCGCCTCACCATGGCCTCCAGAATGCTCATTACAGAGGTCAGTAATTGAACGTGCAAAATTCCCCCACCCTAAAATACTGTACTGTACCAATCTTTCATCAAAGTTGTCCTAAAACTATTGAACAACACCCATCCTTGTCCTAGGACAATTTTGAAAAAAACATTTTTGGTTCACTTTGAATGCTGTCTATTGTAGTTCAGTTTATTTAATTTAAAACACTTCCAATGCAGCCTAGACCATGAATGTCAGACTCATTTTCACTGAGGGCCACTTGCGTATTGCAATATTGGTTCCAAGGGGTCTTAAAAAGTTCTAAACACACAATTAAACAATTGTCTCTTTAATTGATTATAGCATATTAATTAAAAAATTCAACCAAAACTGAAAATTCTGTCATCATTCTGTCACTTGTTCTAAACCTTGATGAGTTTCTTCCTTCTGTTGAACAGAAAAAAAGATACTTTGAAGAAAGCTGGAAACATGTAACCATTGATATCCATTGTATTTTTATAGATGTCAATGGTTAGCATATATATATATATATATATATATATATATATATATATATATATATATATATATATATATATATATAGATAGATAGATAGATAGATAGATAGATAGATAGATAGATAGATAGATAGATAGATAGATAGATAGATAATCTTCGTTATTCAACTGATTAAAGTCTCACATACATGTTTGCAACAACTTGAAGGTGATTAAATAGTAAAAACATTTTCATTTTTGTGTGAAATATCCTTTTATATAACAATTAAATACATGTATTTGTATAAATGTAACATAGGTGCTACTTCTCTGGGTTATGTTGACCCACATGATCAAAGTAAATAACAAAGACAAAAATCATAAGACACTAAACTACTGTTCTCCAAAATCTTTGTCACCAGTGTTGGGAAAAGTTACTTTTGAAAGTAAATACAAATTCTGACTTTTCAGAACTTACAGGCTTTTTTTGTCTTTTTTAAATGAAGGAGATCTGCAATTAACAATGCATCATATAGCCTACACCTTTATTTACCATAAAAAAGAAAACACATCAAAAAAATAATAATGTAGGATAATTTTTTTTCTAAGAACTTCCTGACCCTTGAGCTAAATGCTGTATATACAGGTTAAAGAAAGTGTAAAGCAACATGTTTGCTCCTTTTGTAATATGTGTCTTATCAATGAAGTACAGTCACTGTCCATTGAGACAATCCCCTTTTCTCTTTCTTTGATCCATTTAGAATAATAAGAATAAATCTGTTCCTGCATTCTCTCCTTGAGTGTGGGATTCAGCATGACTACTTTTATTTTAATTCAGCTATTTATTTTTTATGAGCTCATTAATTAAACTAAGATGTAACTCTCATTACATTTTTTTTAAAAAGTTAATGATTTATTTAAAAAATTATTATTTTTTAAAAGTAATGCGTTACTTGTTACTTAGAAAATTATTATTATTACGTAGCTTGTGTTACTTGTAAAGCATTTCCCCAACAATGTTTGTCATCACATTTAAGAGACCGTGCTTAGAAACATAATTCGGAGCTGCTAATCAGTGACAGATTGGACATTTGCCAATTTCATAGCCTATAAATCCTGTTTAGACGAGTGTTATGTGAAAACACTGCCATCTAGTGACAGAGGGTCACAAATCAAAAATGCATTATGAGAGATGGTAGTTTATTTTTAATGTACCATAAAAAACGCATGGACGCATAATGCTGGGTTATATTTTACTATATATTACTTGTGGGATACTTTTTGCTTTTTCGCCTAAGTTGAATATATTGAACTTGTGTGGAAGAAATAGCTGCTGCATTTCACATCATTTGGCTGACATCAAATCATGATGCATGTTTTTTTTCCACTTGATTTGAAGACACAGTGCAAAATTTAAGTTCAGAAAAACAATAACATCTGTACAATTTATTTTTTAAATAATTTTCATTATTCTTTTATTAAAGTTAAACCTTGTCTACTGTAATATCATACATTAGATTGTTGTAATCGTAAAGGTACAGTAAATAGGTTCCATTACCATTTGGATATATAATTTCTATGATAACTGTATAAAAATGACTAGCCTGAATACAATAAGTATAAATACATTTGGACAACTGATGTAGCCCAATAACAGCAATTATTTTAATTATTATTGCATTACTCCTGTAATACTGTATAATACTTGTCATGTACATTCATGTGTACAGTATATCTCACAGTTATTCCCCAAAAGCATGGTGTTGTTACTTTAATACTACTACAGTAACCCCAAAACAGTGGTGAATGTCATACTAGTGTATGACGTGTACATGACAAGATGATTATTTTTAAAGTGTTGCAGTATAAAAAACATGTTCTGTTGTTTACTCAGGCTGATATGTTTGTGTTTGTGCAGAGGCAGCGGCTGATAAATAGTCGTTTTAGTAATGGTGACTCTGAGGTGACTGTAAAGATGCCAGGAAAGCGCGGGGTGGAGAATGGACTGGCAGGACCGGACCGAGGCCTAAATGGGCGGAAGGGAGGTCACCACGATGATGACAGAGGTGGAGCTGAAGCTGGCACTGACACAGAAAATGAGAACGAAGACAATGAAAACAACGAGAATGATGAGGAGGAAGAGGAGGAGGACGAAAATGAAGGACCATATGTACCATTCCGCTGCCCAGGTACATTTACAGCATTAGTGATGAGTGATAAAATACTCTGCCATGCATTTAGACAATTTTTTTTTCAAAAATGTTTTTTAAAATATCTAAAAGTTTCTGTCACATGCTATTTTTTAAAATCTTTTTTATTGATCTTTTGTATGACAATGTAAATTAAATATTGAGGTGTAAACAGTAATGTATTGTCCCTTGTTATTCCCATACCCTAACCTCTAATTCTTTAACTTAATTACCAAAACAACAATTAATAAATATGTAAATACATAAATACTAAAATAAGTACATTAAATACATAAATAAGAATGAAGATTTGGTAACAAAAGGCTCCATTTGTTAATGTTAGTTACAGAATATATTAATAACATGAACAAACAACGGATGAAATAAATAAAAACTCACAATGCATTCACTAATGTTAAGAAGCACAACTTTGTTTTTTATTAATGCATTAGTAAATGTTGAAGTATTATTAATAAATGCATTCATTCTTAGTTCTTATTAGTAAATTCATAAAATCACATTAATATTTGCTTTAATTTAAGATTTAATGCACCAATCAAAGTAAAGCAAATAAGTGTTTAGATTTTACAAACAATGATACATATAATTTATCTTGAAACTTTTTTTTCACTAAATTTAAATAACATTTTGGCACTATTCATCTATTTTCTTTTCGACTTAGTCTCTTTATTAATCTGAGGTCGCCACAGCCAACTTATGCGGCATTTTGTTTTACACAGCGAATGCCCTTCCGTCATAATAGTATAATAAAACTAAAATAAATAAGTAAAAAATTTTTACCAAGGAAATATATTTATATAACTGGAATAAACTTTATAGACATATAAAAAGAAATAAAAATACAAAAATAAAAACGCTAATTAAAATTAAGATGAAAAACATAAAAATAAATTCATTTAAAACTTACAAAAACATGAAATGTTTTAAACTTTAAATAAAAATCTACATTATCTACTACATTATTGGCAATGATGCTAAAATCCGATCTACCTGCTTACACTGCAGACACGAGGGCACAGAACCGAATCATAACGGATACATTTGATCTACCTGCTTACACTTCAGACACGAGGGCACAGATCCGATTCATAACGGATACATTTCCACATATGAACAAGGCCTGAATCTGATTTGAGTAAATCAGAATCCATGTGATTTTTTTCCTGCTTACACGAACAAGGACCATATCTGATCTGTGCCACATGACAGAAAACAAATCGGAATTGAGTGACACACGTGGTAAATGCAGCCTTAGTGAACATCTTTCTCTTTTTAAATCAGAATAAAGCACAAACTAATGTCAAATTTAAAAGTCAGCAAACAAATTGAGTCATACTGAGAAATATTAAATATCTTCAGCCTACCAGTAAAATAATAATAATAATAATAATAATAATAATAATATTGGTTAAATTGCACATACAGTACAGTATGTCATTAGAAAGTGTGACATGCTGGAACAGAACAAGCACTCAAAACTCCAAAAAGAGTTAAACGAGTAATATTTGCAAATATGAATTGAAGCATTTAATACCAGGTTTTCAGCTTCAACCATTAGATCTGCCCTTCCACAAACATTTGCATGACATTGAATGCCAGTGTCAGGTAACAGACTGGTGACTCAGATGATGTGCTGATCTTGGGCAGGTGGAGGCATAAATAAGCTAAAGTGGCTGCTGGCCTGGCCACTCAGTATGCTGCTGTTCTTCACCGTGCCCAACTCTGCCAACCCACGCTGGGAACGCTGGTATATGGTCTCCTTCATCAGCTCCACCATCTGGATCGCTTTCTTCTCTTACATCATGGTGTGGATGGTAAGGTTTGCCACACAAATTTTGATTATAAATTCTCAAACTTAGAAAGGATTTTTAGAAACATTCAGTGAGCTGTCAAATATGTCATGACAGGTTACAGTGATTGGTTACACTATGGGCATCCCAGATGTCATTATGGGCATCACCTTCTTGGCCGCTGGCACCAGTGTTCCTGACTGTTTGGCCAGTCTAATTGTGGCACGGCAAGGTAAGAATGAATTATTGTGTGTTTATAGTGTAGCATAGGTGGCACGGTGGCTCAGTGGTTAGCACTGTCGCCTTACTTCAAGAAGGTTGCTGGTTTGAGTCCTAGCTGGGCCAGTTGGCATTTCTGTGTGGAGTATGCTTGTTTTGTGTTCGTGTGGGTTTTCTTCAGGTACTCCAGTTTCCTCCACAGTCCAGGACATGCACTATAAGTGAATTGGATAAACAAAATTGGCCTTAGTATATGAGTGTGTGTAAATGTGACAGTGTATAGCTGTTTTCCAGTACTGGGTTACAGCTGGAAGAGCATCCGCTGCGTAAAACATTTGCTGAAATAGTTGGCGGTTCATTCCGCTGTGGCGACTCCTGATAAATAAGAGACTAAGCCAAACAAAAATGAACAGACGAATGAATGTTTTAGCACATTAGTTCATTAGTTCATTGGTGCCCACACACTTTTTTAGCTCCAGTAGTATTTTTTCAGTTGATTTGAGATTTTTGAAAAAGGCTTTGTTAAATAGTTTTAAGCCGTGAAACAAACCACCCAGTTTTGAGGTGAATTACAACATTACAAACTTTTTGAAGCAAGGAAATACTGTAGTAAATGTGAAGCTGGTCTTTTATTGCATGGGTATTTTTTGGCAATATCCATACATCAATTAACATCAATATATATATATATGTTTTTTTTATTGCATAAATAATTAGGATATTAAAATCAAGTTCCATGAAAATTTAAATTTTTCCCACTGTACATATATCACAAACCAAAATTTGGATTACAATATACAAAATTTTCAAAAAATTGTATCTCAAACATTTAAGTTTTGATTGATTTTGTGGTTGTAAAAAACAAGACTGTATTTAACTTTAAAGAGGGTAATAAATAAACAAAAATCTTAAATTATTTATATTCTGCTTTTTCTATCATTTCAATATATTTTAAGATTAGCCAGACTGGCTAAGAAATGAAAACTCTTATAGCATATGATGCCTCTAATATTTTCCATTTAACTCTCCAGTATCTCTCTTTCTTTTTCAGGAATGGGTGACATGGCCATTTCCAACTCCATTGGCAGTAACGTATTTGATATCCTGATTGGGCTTGGTTTGCCTTGGGCCCTTCAGACACTGGCCATTAACTATGGCTCCACAGTAAGTGACAATTGTATGTTGTATGTTGGATGTTGTATATATCATTATTCTTTCATTTCATAATTGGTAAATGTTTAAAGAGCATTGACAATTCACAAATTAGTCAGTTGTACCTAGTATGAAAATGGTTATTTATTTTTAAATTTGCTCAATTACATTCAACATTCTGAAGGCACATTTGTTTCCCACGGCAAGTCAAAATTGTATCAAGACTAAACCGCATAATCTGACATAATGACTTTCATAACCGACAACAAAAACGTGTGATCTGGTTGGTCAAAGATTATGATTAGTGATTTCTGATTTTGGTGTTCTGATTTATGTAAGAAACACCATCAAATTATTTTTGGTAGATAAATTACTGCTACACTAAACAATAAACTCATTAAAAAAAAATTCAGAAAAAAAAAAACTGCATATGTCCTAATGCAGACCATTTTATGCCCCCGGGCCACATGCAGCCCGCTGGACTTCTTTAATCGACCCGTGTAAAGTATTTATTTAATTTAAATTCAACCGCAAACAGGGCCTTGCAATGTGCAGGTCTGAAAATGTGAGTCAACAAAAAGCAACTTTGACATGTAGCGTCTTTTGCGAGCTCTGTTTCGTTATATCAAATGGAAACGTGCAGGTTCAGCAGGCAAATAAGAAGGCATGCACATGCAGTATTTCTAGCTTACATTTTCCAGACGTCACGTTTTAAAAAATCTAAAAATTTCAGAATGCCACAAGCGAATCATGAGTTGGGAACCAACCAGGCAGCTTCACACTTTGTATAGAATTACACAATAATAAAGGTAGACTAATTACCTCAGATTAACGATTTAACAAATGCAGATACAGATCCTCTCTCAGTGATGATCACAACATCACATATCCACCTCACAAAATTAACCTGACTTCAATGTACTTGTTCAGCCCAACACAAGCTAGAATTCTCTCACTGAACATAAAAAATAATAAATGAATGAATAAATAAATTAACAAATAAATAAATAAATGGTCCCACTTTATATTAAGTGTCCTTAACTACTATGTACTTACATCAAAAAATAAATACAATTTACTTACTGAGTTTATAATAAATTTGAGAACACTTGTGGTGCATTTGAGTTAGGATAGAGGTTGGGTTATGGACAGGTTTGGTGGTATGCGTAGGTTTAAGGGTGGGTTAAGGTGTAAGGGATGGTCAACAGTGTATTTACAAATGTAATTACAAAAGTTAATTACAGATGTAACTACATACATGTATTTAATCAAGCATAAGTACACAGTAAATACATGTATTTACACAATAAGTACATTGTAACAAACTATTAATTCCTGTGTTAGTACAAATTAGTTAAGGCCACTTAATATAAAGTGGGACCAAATAAATAAATAAATAAATACATACATACATACATACATACATACATAAATAAATATTTTTGTAGAGTTAAAGAGTTTGTATGAATGTTTATTAAATAGTTTTACAGATTTTTTTTTTGTAACCCTAACCCTAAAACAAACAAACTGTATTGGTCTGGCCCTTTAAAACCACCCTAGAGTCTAATGTGGCCCCTTGGAAAAATGAATTGCTCACCCCTGTTCTAATGTATTGGAGGGAAGTGGCATAATATTTTTATTAAATTTTTATTGTTTTGAAACTTAAATCTTTTTGTCTTTGGCCCAAATATAAAACTGTAGGAAATTAGCAGGAACAATTAAACATCTAATTTCACACAACAGGCAACTGGTAAACAAGCAGAAACTTTGACAAAAAGAAAACAATCACTCAAGAGTCTGTGTACATAGTTGTCTACCTCTGGCTTTAACTGAACACACATTTAGAGTCTCGGTAGAATAAACAAAGATCTTTGTTTGAAACAACATGCCAACATTCTCCATCTGAAAGCTCTAACATGTCTTTTATGCCTCTCTCCCCAGATTCACCTAAACAGCAAAGGTCTGATTTTCTCAGTTGGGCTGCTGCTGGCATCTGTGTTTTTGACGGTATGTGAGAGCATTTGAAACAGTTTTTTCGAACAAATCTCCTTCAAATCTATCTCTCACATCAACCGTCTCTTTCCCCCTCAGGTTCTCGGTGTACATCTGAACAACTGGAAGCTGGACAAGCGCTTGGGTTTTGCTTGTTTGCTGATGTACGCCGTCTTCCTGTGTTTCTCCATCCTCATCGAGTTCAACATCTTCACTTTTGTCAATCTTCCCACCTGCCGCGAGGAATGAGCTCCTTTTTCCCCAGTCCTCCCTGTTTGACCTGCTGAGGACAATAGCACAAGTCCTCGATCAGACGCAGAAAGGCTCTCCTTCAGAAGGAATATTTATTTATTGATCTAGCTGATCCTCTGTTGATCTTCTTTTTCTTTCCAATGGGTGCAATATCGGTGGAGTCTGTGGTGTTAGAAGAGGAGTGAGAGGACGAAGGAGCGCTTATGTGTGAGGAACGGTCCCGTTGACTGATATGTAGACTGCTCGGACGGGACAGGAACGTGATAAATGATGACTACTGCCTGGCTTGATGTGAATACTTTTTTTAAATCCAAAATATTTGACATATTACACGTTTAAAGATTAATGATGTAAATGTATTTTATGATGGCATTTGTTTTATTAGCTGCTAATTGATTGAAAATTAGGCTGGACTTGTTATTATTGTTTAGATTTGTGAGGGTTTGTTTATTTGCTGAAAGGTACTGGTGACCTCTAGAAAATACTTCTGTTTTGTTTAGATTTTTTTTTATTTGGGCATTATCAGTCACTTTATCAATAGTCAAGATAATAAAACCAAAAGGTTTGAGATCAGATCAAATATCAGTTAACAAATGACTTTAGGGGCGTTTACACAACACTGTTTCAAAAACGAAAACATTTTATGCATTTTGGCCATTCATTAAACCTACAAAATGGCGGAAAGCGTTCATAGTATGATACTATTATTGTCACCATGTAAACTAAGCAACAGAGTCATGCGCGTTTATAGTACTTGATTAGTCTATAGGCATGTGCGAGTACTTGACTACAAATACAACTGTGGCGCAGATGTGTAGTGTTTTTGTTACAAAGTGACGTCGCCATCTACTGGCCTGGCATGCATAATGCAGCATTTTTAGTTGATCTGTGTAAACACGGATCATTTTGATGTTGTTTGTACATGAAACTTTTCAAAAAGTCAAACGAAAACGTTTCGTTGTGGTGTAAACATACCCTTAGACAGACAGCGGGCATTTGTTTGCACCTTTGTGGAAACATGTTGAAACGCTGCTAGAAGCATATTTATGTTTAGTGAGACAATATTCTCGTGTAATATATGGGGTTTCTATAGATGTGTTTCTTTTGTCTCTAACGCTCTGTATATACTGAAACAGAGAAAGATTTATTTATTAATTTATTGATAACTATTTATGCACATTACTTTCCTACGACGTACTGAAACGAAACCAACCCACAGCTGTCCCAAAGAAGAGACTGTTCTGGAGTTTCAGCCAGGCTATGCCGTTTTTTTGTCCTTCAGAGCTTGTGTGTCAGCCTTTTCTACTGGATTGCTTCTCCTTCACCTCTGAATATTATGCACCCTTTTAGATGCACCTTTGACTTGATGCTTAAAAGCGTTTCTACTATTTGATATGGGTGTGACGTGACAACAGAGGTTATTGAAGAGACTTTTTCAACACTCCGACTTTGGCAGGCGAGTAGGGGAAAAATATATGAATATATATACATATATATTTTATACTTAAACGTTTTGAGATTTAAGATCGGCCCATTCCCTATTCAGAGCGAATGGAGTGAGTGAGCCACAAACCTAAGAAGCTGATTAGCAGGAAAGTGTCCTGGTAAAATGAAGCTAACGTCTATGTAACGTTCATAAGACTGTTTTAAAGATGTAAATCAATGAAATTTGCTTTTTTTCTCTCTCTCTCTCTCTTAGCATGCTGCTCTTAGAGTTTAAGAAAAGAGTTTTTCAAGAAATCCTCTCAAAAAAAACTTTAAAAAAAAAAGGATGCAGTTGATAATATGGATTTTTCTGATGTGTCCGAGGCTCTTCTCTTGGCCTTCTTTCTGGAGGATGATTGGAAATACTTTGTTTTGTTTGCCTCTGCTTCTGGGGATCGTAAACAGACATCGCCACAATGCATCACAGCTGTAAGCTTTTATCCGTGGCACAACATGTGGACTTTTTCCTCCAAGCAGAGGTTTTTAGTGAGCTGACAAAAGTAGCGATTCTAACGGACTGTTTTAGTCTAGCTAGCAACTTCATGCAGGTTTTGTAGTCTGAAGGCACATTTGCAGGGAACATTTGTGTTTTATGCACTGATACTGGGTGTCTAATTGTTTGTCATATTTTAAAAATAGAATTTAGAAGACTTAGAAAACATATCTGGAAGAGTATTGCGGCAAAGTATTTTCTATCACAAAAAGCAACTTTGTATTTTGTAAAGCGAAATGTTTAGAGTTGTTATAAAAAAGTCTGTAGGGTGTGCTTCAAGTGAGTCTTGTTTAGCTCATACAAACTACTTTGTCAGACTGCTTTAGGCATGTTTCAGATGAAAAGATCACACTTCACACGACATTCTGGTGTAAGAAAATTTATGAAATTACAAATAAGATAGGCTGACATATATTAGCAAATATGAACTTTTCGTTTTCTATAGAAGCTCATAATATACACTGAGGCCTAGTTTTATTCCCCATTCCAAAAAAATAAATAAATATATATATCAACTGCGGGTCTAGGGTTTAAGCAATGTGATATTCCTGGTAAATATAAGCTAGGTGTAATCCAAGTAGAGTATATAAGAACTTTGTTTGGATGCTGAAGATTGTTAGTTTGTTATTTTCTTTTTCGCAAAGCAGGGTATTATAAGGAAGGCATCAGGAAGGCAGGGTTCAACGAAAGTTTTCGTTCATGAAATGCAATAATGTTTAAATGAATTAATTACTGTGTTTGTATTTTTACTTGTAAATCCTAAACATGACAAATCACATTATTTGAGTCATATATATATACACTTATGCTACTTAAATGAATCAGTAACAGTAGGAGTACGCTCGATACTATGTTAGGGATATTAAAAGACCCTGCAGGCACAGGACGTCAACTTGACGTCATATTGACATTGTACCCCAACATTGTTTGATTTTGTTTGGAAATGAAAATCAAGTTGACGTCAAAACTCAATAAAGTCTGACACCAATGTCCAACCTAAAATCAATCAAATATCACCGTCTACTCATGTTACACCTTGATGTTATGTGGACGTTACCACTATGAAATCTAGCAGACGTTGAATTTTGGTGACTTTCCAACACAACCTAAAATCAACTAAATATCAATGTTTACTCATGTTACACCATGACGTTGTGTGGACATTACCACTATGAGATCTAGCAGACGTTGCATTTTGGTCACTTTCCAAACACAATGTAAAATCAACTAAATATCAACGTCTACTCATGTTACACCTTGACGTTGTGTGGATGTTACCATTATGACATCTATCAGACGTTGGATTTTGGTCATTTTCCAACACAACTTAAAATCAACTAAATATCAACGTCTACTTATTATACACCTTGACGTTGTGTGTACGTTACCACTATGACATCTATGTTGAATTTTGGTCACTTTCCAACACAACCTAAAATCAACTAAATATCAACATAATTTGACATTGTTAATGGACGTCAAAATAACGTCCTTAGACGCTGATAAGACATTGAATTTTGGTCACCTGATGTCACGAACTAAATCTAACCTAATATTAAGGTCTTATGATGTTGTGTGCCTGCTGGGGAGGCTTTGAGATGCAACTAAATTGGCTTTTACTGCAACTCTATAATATTCCAAAGTCTATGAGCACTGCTGCTTACGGATTACGAGAGATTAATGCCAATGTATAGGTTCATTGATTTATTATGTACTGATCAATGCTATTTGGTCATCCTCACTTCTGGAAATCAAAGTGCTGCTGTTTGTTTGTACGCACAAATATAATTAAGATGATAATAATTATAAATAATAATAATAATAATAATAATAATAATAATAATAATAATAATAATAATAATAATAATAATAATAATATTAATGAGGGCATGCACAACCAATTAGCCCACAATTAGACAAGATTCCCTCAGATTTCCTTTTCTTGTCTGCTGATATTCCTTCATCGATTCAGGCATATTTGAATCTAAAATGTGACTTTTACAGGGTGATGCATTGCTGATGTATATAATTATACATATATGAAAAATGTCTTCATAGTTTTTGTCTTTGCCTGTATATCTGTTGACTATATTTTCATAGATACTGTACAATGTTTGGGTCCTTTATTTGGTCATTTTTTGATTTTGTTGTTGTTGTGTTGAGGGTTTGATTAAACACCCTTGGTTTGCAGAATCGCATGGGATATTTTAATATAAGGAATTATTTATGTTCAATCCTATTACACATTGTTGAGCACTGGATGGACAGCAGTGGAATTTAGACCTCTTAGATTCTTGCATGTTTTCTTTGTTTTATTTCTCTCTTTTTTTCCAATGGAAAACTGCTGGGCTTTTAATTCTCCAATGAAAGCATAAAGTAGATTTCATTCAGAATAACTGATGTCTTCTGCATTTCAGGAAGCGTAAAAAAGAATGGTGGTTGGCTTTATGTACTAAACTATTTTGTTCAGGTGTTTCAGTTGTATATTTTGCTACTTGAGCATAATTAAAATGATCTTTGCTGAGGTAAACACTTGTTTGATTTTTGTTTTGTCTCCATAAGGCATGCAGAGGCACACACCTTTTACTGTATAGCAATCTTACAAATAAAGTTATTTATTGGGATTGATGCTTTAAAGCAAAATATGATCCATGTGACTTTTAAACTGTCAAATGAGAATAAGCTAACAATAAAATCATCTTAAAAAGTATTGATTGAAGGTTGATAAATCAATGTAGAGAAATGTAAGGCCCTTAAAAAGTATTAAAAACTCTTAAATGCTATTTTGCAAGGTATACAGTTTTGATTATGCAATGTATGGTTGTGTATTAAAGTTTGCCTGAATTAAATCTGGGAATATCAGGATGCTGTGTAGTTTATGAAATCAATAAAATTCTGCTAGATTTGACATCATGCTGCTTTGTTTACTGTTGTAACCAAGGCAACAATATTTTTGTTTTTGTTTTTATATTTGCATTATTTCTGCAGTTGTATAGGCACCAATTTTCAAAATGAGCTTGATTTAATAATTTTTTATCCAGCATATAAATAATGTTTTAGTTTTGGATTAGTTTCTTACATTAATATTTAGTAGATATACTGTAAGTTCAAATCTCACCAGTGTTTCCGGTTGAAAAGTGGTTAAAAAGGTATTGAATTTCACTCTCTGATTCCTGTATGTACTTTGTATTAGCTCTCCTTTTCTTTTTTTTATTTCTCAAGTGTTGCTTAATGGGGAGATTAAATAGTTTAAACATAATAGATTTACTAATTTCTAATAACTATTTTTTGTCTTTGTCATGGTGATGTTACATAATATTTTACTAGTTATTTGGCAGTATACTAATATTCAGCTTAAAGTCCAATTTAAAGGCTTAATTAGGTTAACTAGACAAAAACGGTAGCCTAGAGGTTAGGCAAGTCATTGGTCAATTGTGTTTTTTTCATAGCCAATTAAAAGAATATATAGTATTGACCTTAACTTTTAGTCTATATCTATCTAATATTTCGCCAAACTAAAATAAATGACACTTTCTCCTCAAGAAAAATATAATATGGAATTTTCTTTAGGGGAAAAAGCCTTTTCTCTGATAAACATCACTTGAGAAATACTTGATTTTATTTTATTTTTTTCACAGAAGGGCTAATAATTTAGTCTTCTACTCCAGGCAATGTTTTCAAAAGTCTGTTATTGAATGTCTTTTATTTGAATACTTTTAATGTCATTGTCTTTCATTTATAATGCATATTGAAATTGATTATAACAATCTACTGCGGTTTGAATTTGATTTAAAAAAAATGGAAAAGGATTTTTAATATCTGCAGGGTTTAGTAATAGCAAGTTGCTATTACTGAAGTCGTATAAAGAATAAAAAGTATTAAAATGAAGTACAAAAAAATGAAAAAGCTATTACATTAATCAACATTCATGTAAAGAATCATTTGTATGTTTGTTGGTTTTTAAATAGTTTAGAAGATAGACTTCTTTCAAAACCTGCATTTTAAGTCAATTTTTTTTTTTATTGAACAATAAAAAATTAACAACATTTTGAAAAGGCCAGGGGATGACAATAATCACGGAAAAATAAAATAAAAACATGAAACTGTTACACGTAACAGTTTTTTTTCTCAGATTATAGTTTTTATATAAAGCTAAAACTCTGACGTTAAAATAACAAATAATGGCTTGCAATCACTGTACTTGTTTTTGTGTATACTGCATTTTGCCAACAGAAGTAATAAATTGATCAAAAAGTACTCTTTGTGCAATGACCTGTTGAACGTAGGAAAACCAAATAAAACATTTTAAAACAAATTGAAAACTGGGCATAAGGTTGATTCCAATAAAAGAGCAAATCTCCAACCAAAAATTAACCAGCAGATTAACAGATAAAGTAACATAAATTTCTTTCAAACTTTTTTTTAAATATTATCCCAGTAATTATTTTTTGCCAGCAAGAAATCATTTGTGAACTTGATACATGCTGTACGTTTTGTGGTGTACATACAGAAACATATAATTCAAAGTAAATCTAACTGCGAGTCTGGGAGAAACAGTTGACGTCACCGTTGTCCAATGCTTGTGGGAATTGTAGTTCCTTCAAAACTCCCAACGTTCTGCCAACGTTGCTGTGACGTTTGCGTAACGTGATACGTGCGCTGGCTGGGGACAGTTTGATAACCGTTTCCGCCTATTTCTCGCTCAAATCGCTATGTTTATGAAGAGAAGCATGTTGAGGGATTAAAATTTGCGCCTAAATTAATAAGTACACCCACAAATGGACCCGAACAGCATTAGTCGCACGAACTGGGCCATAAACCGGCGGGCGGAGGGTTTAGTGAGTAAACACATGGCAGACATGGCACAGAGACGCGCAGCGGTGTCTGAGGAGGATCTGCACCCTCTGCCCGGAGACTTGAGCAGAAGCGCAGAAGAAATCCCGGGGCGGGCAGAGGTGAATTTCAGCGCCGATTCACAGTCCTACAATCCTGCTGCAGGAGTGGCGGGAAAGTTGATGAACGACCCAGACAGCACACATACGTTGGGCCGACGTCGGCCGAAGGTCAACACGTCGGCCCCTTTAATTCTAACATCGGTATATGGTCGGCCAAACATACGCATGATCGTTCGGTCGTGTGTTCTATTGTTCCAGCTCAACAAACGTCGGCTCTGCGTCGGTTAACGACCAGAGGCCGACGAAGCACTTCATAAGCACTTGATCTCTCATGCCCATGAAAGAATCCGGCAACATATTTGGTTTACAAGTAAGTTTTTGCGTGCATAATAAATTAGACAAACGCGAGATGCATCATGTCTACTGCGTCGGTCGGTCCAGCTTTAAATAGCCTACATTAATGCAGTAAAACTGACCAAAATGCCTACAATACATGATTTCAATTCATTAAAATATAAAAAGTTTTATTGTTATGCTTTAATAATGAAAACGTTGTTTTTTTCTGGTGTTAACTGCTGTTTGCTTTTTTTTATTGTGGCTTTTTCTAATACATTTTTCCCAGTGTAAAAATCAAGTATGTTCTGCATTTCGGCTGTTTAATTAAAATAAACACCTTTTTACAGAGTGACATCTTTGTTTTATATATACTTGCATTTATATTTATTGGTTATTTATTTTTGACAGTGAATCTGATGCACAAATAAAGTGTTTGTTTTGTAACAGTTTAGTAGGCTATAAAGCTCGTCTTAAAGATAATAGCGTATATAAAACTGCTAAATACATTTTAAATTCAAGATATAAAATACAAGGTTATTATTTAAATTGTCTATGGAGTGATCATGTTTATAAATGTAATACTGCAAGACTTTAATGTGCGCGCGCGCGTCTTGCTTCCAACACTGGAGCGGAGAGGATGTTGCTATGGGAAACGAAGCTACAACACGACACGACACTACCTGAAAGACACAACACGACTTGTCTCAAGCTGCCGTTTTGACTGTTTTCAGGTAAGTTTAGTCCCTAAAACAAAGCAATTACTAAATAAAACTGTTCCTCACACATTTATTATTGGCAATTGATGAATATTCAGTTGAATATTATGTTATATAAGAGTGGTAAGTCTTCGTAAAAGTCCGTTAGCATATTAGCACTGGTAACGTTAGCGTCGGGGTAATATTACGTTAACTTACTTAATGTTAGCTCTTGTTAAACTTGTTTGTTTAAGTTTTGGCTTTTATTTATTCTTTATGTGTAGATGAGAGGTTTTGTCAATATTTTATTGAATGCACTCCATATGTAGTCTAAAATACGCATTGTAACGTTACTGTAAAGGACCGTGAATCAAAAGTTCAATCATGTTTTGATATTTCATGGTATCTTAAACTAAATGTTAAGTAAAAAAGTGTTCTGTGGTTTCAGGAGTGAGAGAATAACCTCCTGCTACAGAAAATATAACTCAAGATTCCTAAATTTCTGAAGGGAGCTGATCACAGAGATGCAGGAAAGACAGGTAACTTTAAGCATAGGATTAATTCATATGAATTTCCATTGCACATCATTATGCACATGTTACATGTCTATATATTATGCATCTGTTACTTGTCTTTATTGCAGTTGTTTTAAGAAAGTTTTGACATTGAAACATGTTAGTGGTATTAAATTTCACATCACATGATTCTTCAGAACTTAATAAATATATAGATTTGCTGCTAATGAAGTAATATTTGTGATTTTCATTTTGTTTAATTTTTTTATGATTAATTGATTTATTAAATCTTAGAAAAAAGTTTACACTAAATTATTTGTCATCACATCTGTTTTTAGCATTGATAGCAATCCGAAATGTTTCTTGAGCAGCAAATCAGCACCATTTGATAATCACCATTATATTAGTTCAACCTCAAGCACTAAATCAACATCTTAAAAAAAGATTTCTGAAAGATCAACTGACACTGAAGACTTGAGTAATGATGCTGAAAATTTAGCTTTACATCATAGCTATGAATTACATGTATATTTACACTGTTCACCCATCCCTCCTTAACTCATCCTTAAGTCAATTTAAGCCCTAAATGAATAATTTTTGATTTGTACAGGCATGATATGCAACTTGTATTCAGTCGTTTTGTTTTTTCTTTCTTTTGCTTTTGTTTTCCACATCAACTGAAAAGGAGGTCTAAGTTTAACCTAAGTGCCGTGTTGCTGATGAACATCTTTATATGTAAGTATATTTTTGACTGACTGCCAGACACTTGTCAAACAGTGATGAGCAAACGAATGGCCGTTCTTTTAAAAAGATCAGGGAGATGCAAGTCTGGAGATTAATATACATTTTAATTCAAAATTGATTTATCTGGAAATATTTCATAATGTTTTGAGATATGTGCCCTATATGCATTTAGATGTCCATGCATGTTTAAAATACTTTTAAATTTAACAATGGCTGCAAGTTATAAAAACATAAACAAACACAAAAATGTTAAAGTAAATTGAGAAAACATTTTCATCAGTTTGACAACAGGTAGATCAGCTCCTGACAGACATGTTAACAGATCAGTTTAACTCTTATTAAATTCATTCATTCATTCATTCATTCATTCATTCATTCATTCATTCATTCATTTTCTTTTCTGCTTAGTCCCTTTATTAATCTGGGGTAACCACAGCGGAATGAACTGTCAACTTATCCAGCATATGTTTTACGCAGTGGATGCCCTTCCAGCTGCAAGCCATCACTGGGAAACAACCATATACGCTTGTTCTCACTCATACACTACAGACAATTTAGCCTACCCAATTCACCTGTACCCCATGTCTTTGGACTTGTAGGCAAAACCGGAGCACCCAGAGAAAACCCACCAAACGCAGAGAGAATTTGCAAACTACACACAGAAATGCCTGCTGATCCAGCTGCGGCTCGAGTCAGCATCCTTGCTGTAAGGCGACAGCACTACCTATTGTGCCACCACGTCACGCTCTTATTAAATTATATTTATATAATTTTGTGTTTCAGTACATGCTATTTTGGGAAGACAAAATATATTCATAAGCTCTCAGAAAATTCAATAAGAGAATTAATTCATTCATTTTAAGAGAATTAACTGCACAATTACTTGAAATGTGTGGGATTACATTATTTGTTAACCCAAAGTGAGTTTCTCTTTCATTGAAGTATTGGATGCCTGATTGCAGTTCAACTCCAAACTCAGTTGGACCAGCTGATCAGTGTCTTCAGTATTACCACAAGCTACTGGGCAGATGTGTGGACAGCTATGAGCCAAACTTGGGACGTTTGGTTTTTAGGTAATACCAGTGACAAAGTATTCAGTAAATTGCTTATAATAAAAGATGCTCACTGCTTACCCCCTTATAGTTAAGTTGTTTGCAGTTTCATTGTTGTAAAAATACCATACTTTTTCCTTTTTTTATAAGCAGGTGTGACCGTCTGGGCAGCAGAAACAAGACAACTAATCATAGTTGAGTTGAGATTAGTATTATTAACTTGACTAGTTTGGTTGCAGACTTGTTCAATACTTAACAATTTGTATAAGTTACAAGATCAATGGTCCTGCTATCAATGTTTGTGTAACTTAAATTCATTACAGTTTAGATACAATCAAATGTCCAAACCATCTCTGAGTGAATGACATCAAGGAAACAGGATCAAAAAGATCATTCATTATAGAATGTTTCATAGGTAACAGCACATCCTTTGTGAAAAATAATTTATTTTTGTGTCATCATTACAAGACAAAATACATTTCAACTGATTTCAGTTGGTTATATTTTTCAGGTCCTCCTGATCATTCTGTTCTCCTGGTTGTGAGGATGTGCAGAGGCTGTATTTGTCAGTGTTAAAAGACTTGTGCCGCTGTATCCAGACATACAAGCAGCCGACAAAGAGTTCTGGAGCAGGACAGACAGGTAGTTCACAGTGGTTAGGCTAGAAGTTTATACTTGGGTGGCCAGAAAGTGGCCTCCGCTATTTTGGGGGGTCCATACAAATACACCAGTGTAAGCTATACTATTGCACAGAAAAAATTAAATGAAAGAATTAATTAATCGGTTGAACACAAAATATTTTAAAGAAAGCTTAAGTATCAAGGTGGCAATATACAGTATGTTACATTGTAGTACATGAGCTGGCTAATACAGATTCGTAAATGTTTAGTTGTTAAGATTAGTTAAATACTATATCCTCTACTTGAGACCTGTTGCATATACAGCTTTAACTGAACTGAATTTAACTAGAACTACACCAGCATTCCAAGTGCTCTAGACTAGCTTTTTGCACTGGTGCGTCTAAAATGTTTGATGGCATTGCATTTAACACTGCAATTTTACATGTTAATTTTTTTTTAAATTACAATCCATATAGGCAATATTGACTTGTAAATGATTAACTGAAATCGGGTCAACACACATTATGGGGATTGTGTATAGAATTTTGAGGAAATTAATGAATTTAATCCATTTTGAAATAAGACTGAAACATTAAAAATGTGGAAAAAGTAAAGTATCAATACTTTTCGGATGCATTGTATATGGTTTTTAGCGCGTTATCAAAGACTTAAAAAACCAACATTATCTACAGCAGCAAAAGACCCTCCACATCAAAAGCTACTGGTCAGCTCACGATTCAGCAAACATCTGAAAAACAAATAGCTTATTATGCCTTCACAAGAAAACAGTGTTTTTGAGTCTAATGAAGATAGTACTATTTTAATCAATTATTATTTAGCCTGGCATGTTTACTGTTACAAAATATTTTAAATGTTTCTTAAAACAAAACATATTGTGTTCAATGGGGAAAAAGTAGCTGTTTTTTACACAGAGATAAAAAAAAACACACATTTCAGAGCAGTAATCACAATACTGTGAAACTGTGATATTTTTATTCAAGATTATACCCTCAGAATTTTTTAATTTATTTTTTTTTTTTTAGTTGGCCTATATTCTGTTTTTCTATGTTCTTGGAAATGCTGCTGTGCATGAAAATGTGACGATATATCCGGTTCTATAGTTAATTCTGAAATAAATCTTAAAATGAAACAATATTTAAAAATGCAATATTTAATGTGTCAGACACTAAATAAACATGTCAATTCATTTATATTAATCTGATTCCTTAACAGGGCAGCACGGTGGCGCAGAGGGTAGCACGTTTGCCTCACAGCAAGAAGGTTGCTGCTTCAAGCTTCGGCTGGGTCAGTTGGCGTTTCTGTGTGAAGTTTGCATGCTCTCCCCGTGTTGGCATGGGTTTCCTCCGGGTGCTCCGGTTTTCCCAAGTCCAAAGACATAGGTGAATTGGGTATGCTAAAATTGACCATAGTGTATAAGTGTGTGTGAATGAGTGTGTATTGGTTACAGCTGGAAGGGCATCCACTGCGTAAAACATAGGCTGGCCTTTCATTCCGCTGTGGTGACCCCAGATTAATAAAGGGACTAAGCCCAAAAGACAATGAATGAATGAATCCTTAACAGTTAAAATTAACCATTTGAGCGTGCTTAGTTTAGGGTATGTTGTGCCATTAAATTGTCAATAGGTTTTATTTTTTTCTACATTTTAAATCTGCTTTAGCTTTCTTCTTTCCTATAAACCTGGAAATATAAAATATATATTTTTGGTTTTTAACAAATTGCTTATTTTATTCTTAGATTGGTGTACGCTGATGGTCTGCTGAGAATTCTGCTGAGTTGAAGGGATCCTCCTGTCAGACAACCTCTCCAAAATACAATAGGACTAGTAAGTAACATCTTAAACATACACGACTGTTTCATAGCTTTTAGGTTGGTATGGTAAATTATCTTATGATAGTGTCAGCTTTATTTAATTAATACAGTCAAGCAGTAATACTGTGAATTTAATACAATGTATATAATTAATAGTGTCACATGATCCTTCTGAAAAAATAGTATTCCAATGTACTGATTCTCTCCTCAAGCTGTTTTTTTTTTAAATATAAAACAATTTAAATAAACATATTTTTAGTATTCTTGATGTATGAAAAGTTTATTTTTAAGAGCATAGTATTTATTTGAAAAAAAAGTTTGCTCTTTGATGATTGCTAACAATCAGACATGTTTCTTTAGAACAAAAAGAATTTGTGCAAAAAAGTATTCTCACTGAGCGTTGTCCAACTGTGGTCCAACACGTCATTTAAGTTTTCAAATAAGCCTAAAAGACTTGATTAGCTGCATCAGGTGCATTTAATTAGAGAGTTGAATATATCATTTTTTTATATCCTCCTCTATAGCCTACATATAATAGAAGTTGTTTGCTGAAAAACCTTTTTGTAGCAGAAATAAAGCTATGATTAGGCCCACCCGGATTTTTCGCAAAACTCCGCAGATGTTTAGCCTATCATTAATTCTGTTTATTTACTTGAGTAAATGTGTGTAAATCTATATTTATTCAGTTTTTTTATTAATTTCAGTAATATTATTGACTAATGTGAAAATGTTCATCTGATTTATGTACAATGAGGTTTGTACAGTAATATTTTCTGTCTTACTAGATGTTATATGAAAAACTTGCTTTATTTACCAAATAAAGTGAATCTAATTGGATTTGCATTTTAAACATTAAATAAAACTTAAAAATATAAAAAAAATTTATTTCATATATTAAGGTCTTAGTTATGATACTCCCAAAATAATTCCGCAGAAATCCGCAGACTTCCACCAAAATTTTCAGCAGAAATAGCAAAAAAAACATCTGCAGATTCCTCCTGGCCCTAGCTATGGTATATTTAATGTGGTGTACAGTGTGACATTTTAGTTGACGAAACTTAGTTTAATTTGCATGTAATGTGGTATCTGAAGATTAGACATATATTTAGATACACATTTATACTAACACAATGATACTAAAAACAAAAAAAAACATTCATTATGATTTCACAAGGAATTTAACTTTCAAATGGCTTTTCTGAAAATTAGTGCTCAGACACACTCTTTAAGTTTAAATTAAATGACACATTTTAGCTAGGCACTTGCATAACACATACTCCAGTTATATGTCATGAAACAAATAATATATATTTGTGGTAATAAGAACTGCTGCAATCCTAATCTTTCTCCTTTTGGTTTCTTGCTTTATTTAGGGGTTCCCACTACAAGGATTAGATTTGGCTACTGCAGTCCCGGTTTGGGCCAGCCTCACTTGTGAAGATTAAAGATGAAGACAACATACAAGAACAATTTCGAGGATGGCAACACACTTTTTATTCCACCTATTTATCCCTTTTATGTGTAAGCAACATTCCACAAGAATAAAACAAAACTAAATGACAGGTTATTTCTTTTCATTTTGTCTGTTTTCTTGGAACATTGTACACAATTTACAACCAGTTTTATATATATATATATATATATATATATATATATATATATATATATATATATATATATATATATATATATATATATATATATATATATAGATAGGTCAGAACAAGAAAATGTTATGTTTTCTTCTGGAGAAAGTCTTATTTCTTTTATTTTGGCTAGAATAAAAACAGTTTAGAATAAAAAAAAAAACATTTTAAGGTCAATGTTATTAGCCCCTTTAAGCAATTTTTTTCGACTGTCTACAGAACAAACCATCGATATACAATAACTTGCCTAATTACCCTAACCTGCCTAGTTAAGCTAATTAACCTAGTTAAGACTTTAAATGTCACTTTAGGCTGTATAGAAGTGTCTTGAAGAATATCTAGTCAAATATTATTTACTCAGTTATTAGAAATGAGTTATTAAAACTATTGTGATTAGAAATGTGTTAAAAAATATTTCTGTTAAACAGAAATTAAGGGATTATATATATATATATATATATATATATATATATAATGACAAAATCTGTTTTGTGTCGTGCATTAGAGTTTGCTTAAAAAAACTGGTTATCTCTGAGAAAGTATTGTTATTTTTTATTATTGATGTGTTATTAGTTCAGAGGAGATTGCAAATTGTTGAATGCCATTTATAAAAATAAAAAAAATTGTAAAAAAAAATTGACTACAGACTTTGATAAGATTTTATCAGACAATTATTTTAATTTGTATGATATTATTTACTACTGTAAATATTGTTTGCTTGGTATTTATTTTGTGTTTGTGTACTCTTTTATTATTGTAACTCCCTGAAGAAAGTCTTTTGGATACTGAACACATGACTGGTATTATCTTGTATTTTAAAATTATAGTCTTGGAAACATGCATTTTCTTTAACACTATTTAAGAAATTATAAGCATTATAACATGTGCTTACACAAGTTATTTGTGTTTTTACTATAGTAAACTATAGTCACCCTTAGTGTACATGTTTTGAAGTACTTGTAAATATTCCTATCTTAATGTAAATGCTGCAATGGACTTTGTATTTAAAATCGTTATTGCACAGTAGTTCAGCCATGGTTATAGTACAACTTGTTGGTTTTGTTTTAAACGTGGTAAAACATGGTTATGTGTGATAAAAGTGTTAATCTATTTGTATGTTTGTGAAAATATTAATAAATCTTCTACTGTTATTGAGAGTGGTGTGTCGTGTTTATTATAAATAAGCAGCTGCTGCAGTGGTCCATAAGTATGAGCAAAACGCCTGAGAACAGCGCCTCCGCGGAGCGGCCGGTATTTCCAGTTGCGTCGTCCTAACATCGGCCGGACAGCGTTTCCGATCATTTGCCGACGTCGCGGCGACATTTTGCCAATTAGCAAACGCTCCCTGAGCGACATCGCACCGATGGAATTTTGAAAATCGGCACGACGTCGGCCCAACGTATGTGTGCTGTCTGGGGAGGACGCGTCTACATCATCAGGTACTGTAAACAGTGGAAATTACAACGTTTGCCTTTAGGCGAACTTAAATATCCCTTTTCTTCTGGCGTCATGGACTTGCTCTTGTTTAAACTGAGATTTCTTGAGCACTGAGATTTTGATTTTAAAGTGATTTTTTTTTCATAATATATTTTAAAAAATTATTTTATATACTATTATATACATATTTATAAACCTTTACAAAACGCTAGGCGCTATTGTCATCTTTTTACTATTTGATTTTGTTACTGTTTTGGGTATTCAAGATAAATCCTTAATGTGCATCAACGTCATTTTACAAAAGTTAACAATAGCATGACTAAGTAGATGACAAAGTAACTACACTTTTTGTTTGGCTTAAAATCATACAATTATAATGTGTCTATAACAGTTCATCTGAAGAAAAACTGATTACTGTTTCAGTAATCAGAAGAAAACTGATCTGTCTGTTTATATATATATATATATATATATATATATATATATATATATATATATATATATATATATATATATATATATATAGTTTAAGTCAGAATTATTAAACCTCCTGAATTATTAGCCCCACTGTTTATTTTTTCACCAATTTCGGTTTTCAACACATTTCTAAACACAATAGTTTTAATAACTCATCTCTAATAACTGATTTATTTTATCTTTGCCATGATGGCAGTAAATAATATTTGACTAAATTTTTTCATCACACTTCTATACAGCTTAAAGTGACATTTAAAGGCTTAACTAGGTTAATTAGATTAACTAGGCAGGTTAGGGTAATTAGGCAAGTTATTGTATTATAATGGTTTGTTCTGAAGACTAATGAAAAAATATATAGCTTGAAGTGGCTAATAATATTAACCTTAAATGTTTTTTTTTTTTTATTAAAAACTGCTTTTATTCTAGCCAAACAAATAAAACAAATAAGACTTTCTCTTAAAGAAAAAAATATTATCAGATAGATAGATAGATAGATAGATAGATAGATAGATAGATAGATAGATAGATAGATAGAGATATATATTAAAGGTGGAAAATATAGCAACAATGCAATCTCTATAATTATTTTCCATATTGAACGATAATGATACATATTTCGATATATGTTGTTAATGCTTCCATATTTAAAGAAGTACCCCAACAATGACTGAAGCCACAAAAATAAGAGTCCATAAAGTGGCATAACGTATTTGTGGTTGATACATTTTCTGTGCCCAAAGATTCGGTACATCTCTAATATCAACACACTTTTAGATTCTCGCTGTTGCACATTTCTGCTGTGAGATTGGCTCATAAAACAATATGGAGTAAAAAGTCCAGAGCTTATCTTTGTTAATGATATAATGTTTATCGGCCCAGCCCTAATATATATATATATATATATATATATATATATATATATATATATATATATATATATATATATATATATATATAAATTTAATTTTAAAAAATGCTGTTAAAAAAGAAAAAAACTGTCTGTTTTACAGCAACACATTAACACTCTAGAAACAAATGTAGACACCAGCACACAAATGAAACTGATACAACAGTTGAAGTTGATGTGCTGAATTTTATTCTTTTGCTTGTCTTACACTAAATATAGCTTTTGTAACTACAGAGTCAGCAGCACAGAGAAAAATCATATCACTGCTTATTGAGATCAAGGAGGAGCAGCAGAGGCAGTGGGAAGTTCTGAAAGATCTACAGGCTAGGATTCACGGACAAGTGTGTGAAGAGGAAGATGAGCCGCTCGACATCGATCTGCCGCTACGAACAATGGAGCAGCTTGATGTAACTGAACAGCATTTAGAAGATACTGAAGCTCAGAGGAGAATGGTAAAAATATATCATACACTACTGCAGCGCATGTTACAATAGTTTGCTTATGGGTTATCTCAAATACTGTCAGCTAGGTTTTGTCCTTTATACTCAAAACCTGTTAAAAACAGTTCTGTTGATCTTCATAATGTCTTGTTCCCAAAACTGTATCGACAGTCCAGAGGCTGATGGAGGTAACCCGAGAGAAACAGGAAGTAAGAGACAAACGTGATGGTTGAATAAGCTGAATTCATGGAAAATTTTCTTTCAGTGTTCAGTCATAATAATAACACTATATTATCTGATGAGCACAAATCAAATGAGTGTTATTATGAGCAGTAGCAAGGGAAAATTACTGCATCACATGATGTTTAAAAACCTTGAAATGGAGACATTCACTTATCTCTTACTTGTGAGGATGAATTTCCAGTGAAACATTTCCACACAAGAAGATGACACGGCATTTAAAATGTTGTATAAAAATAAAATGTAGTATTTATTGAAGTGATTATATATAGATTATTCTGAATAATTTTAAGATTAAATAGATTAAAGAAATGAGTAAATTAGAAATGAATGAAAATATAAAACACATAGCAATAGGGTATATGAGGAGCTAGTGTGTTTCCCATACTGATTAACTTCCGGTGACCTGTTATTGTGAGTTTTTTCTTTTTTCCATTTTATACGGTTCCTTTTACAGCATAGACATTGTAATGTAATTCAAATACAATCAGTTTGAGTAGCTCAGGCATAAAACGAGCCAAAAAGCCGTTTGCTCGCACGCGCCCGTCAGAATCGGCAGGCTAGCGCAGAAGCTCCTTTGATTATACTGGGGTAAAATAAACGCTTATATTATAAAGACATGGCGGGGGGAAATGTAATTTAATGTAGTGCTTCTTGTACAATCTGAGACTCACTTTATATTGGAGATCACTCAGCCAGTGGAGATCGCTGATTTTTAAAGAAAACAGACCTTAAACATGCCAATTTTCCATTGGCATACAGTTCACTGGAAACGATTAACCCAGGTTACTGCCAAATTAAAAGTCCTATTAACATGCTTCGGCATATACTCTATAAAGCAATAATAAGCCAAAATATTGTGACTAGTCACAGGTAAAGCAATGATTGTTGATCATCTTCTAACAAGGCCATGCATTAGTGTATTAGTAGTTTGAATACATTGTATGCAGGAGATATTGGCAGAAATAAAGACATGCAGTTTTCACAAGGGCTACATGTTTATAGGCAATTGGGTCAGAGTTCAACTTCTTCTCAAACAACAGGAAGAGATCTGTGAGAATTTACCAACAGTGGTCAGAGGGGGGGCAAACTACATAACAGCATCAGGGTTTTGGGTGCCCGAAGCTCATCTGTGGAAAAGGACATCTAAGACAATCCCATCTGCTCTGAGCTAACAGCAAATCTACTGTCCACCCACACTTCAAAGCATCAAGCATCTACAGTAAACTGAACCTTGGAGCAGTCGAGGAAGAATGCCAGGTCAAATGAGTCTTGTTTCTTTTTGCATCAGAGCATGAGAGGGTTATCATTGGAATGTGCCGGCATCAGGATGAAATGAAGACAGTGTGATCCTCAGTGTTGAGAAACTAGTCTGGACATTTATGTTGACATAAATTATAACAAACTGTAACATTGTTGAGTTCACCCCTTCATGGCAATCTTGATCTAGTGGTATAAGTGGCTTTTTTCCACTTACAGATGAAAGTAGGCTGTAGGTGGAGAGTATGTGGAATTTTTTGGCTGTTTCAACTGCATTCTTTTCCTGCCGCGATCCATACATTGTTCAGGAATGTTTTGAAAAAGATGAAGAATTCAAAGTGTTGCCCTGGCTTGCCCAAATATCTAGAGCGTATATATGATGTGCTGGACCAACAGGTTTGATCCATTGTGCCTGTGCATCTTCCAAACTCCAGTACTTAAAAGCAAGGATGTACAAACAAGTTCCTGTATGGTCACTGTCCCACAGTTGAGCTCTCACTACCCTAATTAAACAAACCTGAGGTGTATTCCAGAAAGTAAGCTTAACCTACCATCTGCTAAGCCCTGAACTCTGGGTTAATTAACCCTAAATATGCCCACACGAAGGTATACCAGATATGAAAACTTCAGTTAATTCAGAATATCCTAACCTGACATGTTCACAGAGTCCCAATGGAAACAAATACAAAATGTTGAATGAATTAAATTCGTAAAGCGTATCGCGCCCTACTGGTAATTTTATATTATTTTATGGTATTGTTTATATTTCTTCAATACTTTTTTTCATTTTTTTGTGAAGAATTACAACAATTGTTGCTAAGATAGATAGATGCTAAATATAATATAAATTTAAATTTAACTTTTAAAAACAAATGCTTACATGAGACATACTGTATATTTTTTGTGTTGGTTTTGCTTCCATATTTGTAATAATGTGCAATATTTCTATAATAAAGTTACATAAGCAATACATTTTATTTAAAGTGACCAGTTACAAAAATGTAATTAATTATTGCAAATGCACCACACAAGATAAGAATTAATGAAATAAATAATAGTACAAATTAACATTATTTTCATAATAGCGTTTTTTTTTTCTTTTTTTGAGAAATTCTAAACTTTAAGAAATATATTAAGACACAGACAAATAATGGGCAAATAAGGATAGGAACTTGAACACTCAAGATATTTGACTTTTTGGGAACGAAAGCTGAGGTTATCCACTTACATATCCACTTACATATCCTTAAACATATCTAGGTATGTCACATAACCTGCTTTCTGGAATACCCAACTGACATAATCAAGGTCTTCAGACTCACCAGAAACACACGTTTTAAGTTTTGGAGCTGGTTGGAGCTAAAATGAAAGCAAAATTTGACGTAAAGAATCTGCTGCTAACATCTTGGCCTTTAGGTGTTGTAGAGTCTGTTAATGTGTGCATTCATGCTGTTCTGGCAGTATGCACAGAACCAAATACATATTTTGCTGGGTCTCATAATGTTTTGCTCATCTTTATTCACCTTAAGTTGCAATGAACAAGTAAGTTCTTTTCTAAATGTGAATGTTTTATACTTCAGATTCATTTGCTGTTATGTTAATAGCATATGCAAGTAATAGCTAACACTAAAAATAAGTGTTTATGACAATATATTAACAATCATGTGTTAGATCAGAAAATGGCAGTTTCCAACATCAATCAGTATAATGGGTAAAAATTAATAAATGTGAATGAGAACCAAAGTGTTCACATTTAAGTTAAAATTTCTCATTCGTTCATTCATATTTATTTGGCTTAGTCCCTTATTTATCAGTGGCCACAAACGGAATGAACAACCAACTATTCCAGGATATGTTTTGCAAAGCGGATGCCCTTCCAGCCAGTACTGGCCTTTAAAATTTTACAATGTTACAATTTTCAAGTTACAAATGTTCCCATGTGAAAAACAAGTTGGATATGGTAACTATTAAAGCAACATACACACAGGTTGCTACAAAAATCCTTACATGTCATTGCGTTATACTTTTTATGGAAGAATCCTCCCTTCTTTACCTGCACTGTGTATTACTTCATATTTTGTGTGTGTGTGTGTGTATATATATATATATATATATATATATATATATATATATATATATATATATATATATATATATATATATATATATATATATATATATATATATATAATTTTTATTTTTCTTATTTTTTTTTTTTACATAGGTGTCGCACCTCTCAAGGATGGGTGGAGCCACAGTTGATGATGCAGTTCGGCGTCTTATGCACACAGTTCTGTCTTTCAGTGTGGGCTCAGAGCTCAACTGGGTTGGCAGAGGACAGAAGAGGAGCTTCAGAAACACCAGACTGCAGGGTGTTTTATTTCGTAAGCAAATCTTTTTTAAATCAAATTATGATTCAGTGCATGCACTTCTGATTTGTTGCACAGCTATTTTAGAATCTTCTTGTGAAGCACTGTTTTAACCCTGTTCTGTACAGGTGCCTTAAAGAGGACACCTATTGGAAAGGAGGCCACACATCATCAGTTTGCTGATGTAGTGAAGAAATGGTTGCGGTTTGCCCCTTTTCGACAGAGAGGAAGCGGACGAAGACCGCATTGGAAGCCTATTGAGTTCATCTGTCCCAAATATGATAATACAGTAGAGGATCATAACCCGCTAAACTTGGAATCTGGAGAGGTTCAGGTGACAATATAACATAATTATATGTAATAGTGTGTCATTAAATGACTCAAAGTATAATTATAAAATATTAAAAATAAACTGGGAAAGTGAACTTAGTAAATGAAGAACTGACCCCAGAGTGAAGGATTGACATTCAAAGATAAAGTTTTTTTTGTCATATTACGTTCTTTGTAATATAATATTGCCTTTGCAGCTTTTAAGTTAAAATTTTGAATCATTTGAAAATGTTCAAATTAAAGAATAGATATTTAAAATAAAAATAGAAACAGTGTTATATTGTCTGTTTTGCACCTACAACTTTATTTGAAATATATTGTACTTTGTTTGTTTCAGTTTAAACCTATTTTAATATTAATTTTTACCCTAAAAAAATCAGTTTTGCGGTTTGTTTTGCATTTTGAAAAGAATATTAATGCATTTGTTTCAAAGAACTTTTGCATTCTGACACATTTGTTTATGTGTATAATTTACACATTTTTACTTCCATGTGAGAAATATGTAATATTTTCTACACCCAACCTACATAAATACAGAAATAGATGATTGTTTTCCTCACTAGTGAATAAATTCGGCTTAATGTACTATTAGAAATGATCTCAAAACAGGATTAAAAGTATATTTAAGTATAATTTCCAATATATATAACTTTATATTAAATCATATATGATGGACAGGCTAATTTTATAGCTAGCATTTCATGTACACACACACACACTATACGTCCTAATAACACCTGGAATATTGGAAAATCAAAGATTTGTAATCTCTTGTAGCTACATAATAAAAACAAGTGAAAATGTTGGTAGTGTTTGTGTTGTTGATTTTTTTAACCACTTGGGGATGAGAAGAAGAGATGTTTTATTTAATCTGTGTATTTTCCACTCTTTCCGGTTCTTTCATGTTTCTCTGAATGGCTGGTAGATGTAACAAAGACTTCTCCCTTCCAAAGACATTCCCAGCTGGAACACGTGACGTGAAAGCGCAATGCATATCAACTTTTGTTCTTCTCCTGGAGTTTGTTTTTGCCGGGAGAGGTCGCATGCTTCAACACAGCCATGAGTTAAATGAGACTTTCTTGCGAAGTACAAGGAAACAACTTCGCCTCGGTCATGCAGGAACATCTAAAACTGTTCACTGCAGCTCAGCCTTTGGAGAAACACCACCCAGCTCTTATAAATGCGTTACAACGCTTTTGTTAACGGGTGTTTTGATTTCGTCCCGTCGAGGTGAGTCCTACGCACCGTTTATTACCGTAAGATCGCGGCGATTGTTTTGCTTTTCGAGTGTTTTGTTTTTCGGTTCCAGCTTCATTTCAAAGACGTTCAAACCGTTTTTGTTTGTGTTTTCTTTAGTGGAATTATGTAAGTTCATTTAATTGTCAATTGTAATGTTCAGGTGTTATGTTTTGTTGATATATATTTTATTAACACGTAATTAACCATGCTAGTAATTCCGTTTACACGTAACATGTTTAGAATTCAATGATAGTAGTTTGGCAACTTTAGTCCTACCTGATTTTTTTTTCTTTTTTTTGGACATGTATCTATATTGTTTCGTTTTGTTGCCAGCAGGTACATGTAATACAATCATGTTTATGTGCTAACACAAATGGTCTATTGGCAACTAAAGATGTTATCCTGTGCTATTTTATTGAACCGCAGCGTGATGTTTCTTAAGGAATCGTTCAAGTTATGTAGTCTCATCAGATTATTTACATCTCTGTAAAACGTTTTGATTTCTGATACCATAAACTGAATTCATGAGCATGAAGGCTGCTTTCACATCTGCTGAAAGTAGCTGTAATACACTGAGCAATGTTCGTGTGCGTTAATTGAATAATAATTCACAATTTAAAAGATCATCTTTGGACAAACTTCCTTTTATATGCTCTTTTGTAAACTATAAAAGAATGAAAAACTTAGATTAGAGGTCACATTGTAGCTTCAACCTACTGTCGTCGTCAGGTACAATGCTTTGTGTAAGTTAATTAACATCAGAAACACGTTAAGTAGTTGTAAAATGTTTGCCAAATTTTGGCATCCTCTAAAGTTAGTCACAGAAAACGAGTTAGGTTTATAACTTCAACCTACTGTCGTCAAAAAAGGTACACTGCTTTGTGTAAGTACATCACATCAGAAGCGTGAGGTAGTTGTAAAATGTTTGCCAAATTTTGGCATCCCCTAAAAATAGGCAGAGAAACAAGTCAGGTTTGTCTGATCATAATAACCCTGGATGGTAAAACCTGAAATTAACATTTGGAGGAGCAGCCAAAAACTCCCCTGTTAGGAAAATAGCTTAATAAACAAAACAAAAAAAGTAAAAGCTTATGTTAGAGGATATAAGAAAACAAACAATAGAAGTCAGTAGAAAGTCCCTGTGATGTGTTTACCTATCTGCCATTCATGCAGTATGCGCATTCTCTTTTATTGCTGTTAGTTTAATTGATGGCGTTCGTTATTTACTTGTTTCTAAAAACCATCCCACCAGACTTTTCATTTCTTCCACACCAAATAATTCAGCAGAGTCTCGAAGGCCTGTTAAGAGGATTAGTCTCAGGCAATGGGAAGTAACTTAACTGATTTTGCCCAGAACATGCGTCACTTGACAAGAATTTCAGAGTTGTGCAGTGACTGGCATTGGATTAGTTTGACAACGGAATGTTCTGATCCATTTCAATACTCTATACATACCAATTGTATTAACTTTATTGAAGTTGTGGCTCACACCAAATTGCTGATGCAACCAAAGAATGCTTCTCAAATGCTGAGGTGTCAGCAGCTGTGACTGAAGTGTCAGGGTAGCTTCTGTGTGTGTGTGTGTGCTGTGATTTGTCAGAATAATTTTAGCGCCTGCTGTGACAACAAATTCAGTGAATGAAGGGGCCATGTCATTAAAGTGCTAGTTCTGTTATTGTTTACTCTCTGTCCACTTGTTCCAAACATGTTTGAGTTTTTCTTCTGGTGAACACAAATGAAGATAAACTAAAGAATAGTGTAGAAAGCAGAAGCCATTGACTTCCATTGCATTTTTTTGTTCCTTCTTTGGATGTCAGTGGCTAACATTCTTCAGAATATCTGGCTTCATTCTTTAGAATATCTTGCTTCATTCTTCAGAATATCTTGCTTCATCCTTTAGAATATCTTGCTTTGTGTTCAACAGAAGGAAAAATTCATGAAGGTTTTAGAACGACTTGAGTGTGAGTATATAATGAGGAAATGTTTCTGAGTAAACTGTCCCTTTAAATAACTTGACATGCAATAAATGTGATACCAGATTATGGTCAGAGCAATAAATGCAAAGTGAGACTGATAATGTGGTAAATAGTTTAACCACTGAATTGGAAAGCAAGTCAAAGACATAAGCAGAGTGATACTGTAGTGTGTTCAACTGTCAACTTGCATGTCATTTCTTCCTTTTAGTGCAGTTGATTCTATTCTACGGTGGCCGAGAGAGCAATTTATAGGCTGCAATTTAAGAAAACACATGCAACTACAAAAAAACGCCAGCAAATTAAGAAAAGATTTTTATCTGTTTAACAGTACACTTGCTGCTTTTCTCACAATGTAAACATTTTATGAAAATGTGTTGTAGTTCTTACAACACAAAAAGAATGGAACACAATGGAACTGTTTTAAAGGGACCCAAAAACTTAAGAGACCCTTTCATGACGTGACTATGACTAGCGTTCTCATCTAACGTCATCATCAACGCTAAAGTTCATTTCCAAAACTCAAGACCACAAGAACGACGGACACGTGAAAGTTCCCTGATGTTTTCTTGATATCGAGGACACATCGATGCAGACTTGAGTGCAAAATTTGTTTGAGAAATCACAGAATTGCGACTGCATTTTAGACAAATGTATTATTACTGTAAGAGATAAAACTTATTTGTCTCAGAGGTTTCCCTAAATGAAACGGTGAAGCTAAACATTATCATGAAACTTTTATTAATGTTTATTTGCTGAAATTCGTATTAACACGTGTTCTATTTGTATTGTGCAACGTATTTTTGTGAGGTATTTATTATGTATTGTGAAAAGAGGAAAAACAATAAATCGTATGAACACTGTAATGTTAAATAATTAACCATTAAAAATGCGTGAAGGTCATGTGACCATCAGAAAGAACGCAGCATCTTATTTCTCACAGGCCGCATTCTCTGTTTTCATGGTCTCCATTCTTCTTGGTAACTTGGTAATTTTTCAAGAACAGTCTCCATAAGAACACGAGTCCGTTCTCAGCATTTTTGGAATTGAGATACAGCCTATGCTTAGTGAAGTTGTAGGTGATCTTTGAAAGGTGAGTTTATTTTATTATCCCGATTCAGTTGTCTTTAGTATTTATTAACATAAATAACCATAACCTAAATAGCCAGGTCCGTCACGTTTTAGAGTCCCCTTGAAACATGTCCATTGTGTTCCGAGTTATTTGAAAGTGTTGTGAAAAAATGCAGTGCGTTTACGTAAATTGTTTGCGTTGTGAGGATTTGCAGTGGGTTTTATTAACCTGTTTGCATTAAGTCAAAATGTAACACGTTTTTTTAAAAATGTTTTAAAATGGGTAAAGATCTTTTATAGTTTGCTAGCCTTTTTGTAATTGCAAGTGGTTTCTTAAATTGCAGCACGCTAACCTCTGTAGGCCACCATACTATTTTTATAATGCACTGGGGCAATTCATCATTATTATTATTTTATTATTATTACTATTATTATTAAATTATTAACCTATTATTTTTATTCAGCAAGGATTGATTAAATTGTTCAAATGTAACAGTAACAACTATTACAATTTTACAAAATATTTATCATTTAAATAAATGTTCTTTTTGGTCATTTTCCTCAAGAAATACAAAAGAATTAAACAGCATTGATCGTAGTATCACACTGTTTCTTGAGCATCAGCATCATATAATGATTCGTGAAGGATCATCTGACTCAATACTTGAGTTATGGCTGATGAAAATTCCTTTTAGCAGTTACAAGAATAAAGTACTATTAAAACACATTAAAATAGAGTGTTTAATTGTTTTAGATTTGGTATCTTTAATTGTAATATATTCTTTTTATATTTGGTGCAGCCTTGCTAAGCATAAGGGACTGCTTTAAAATTCTTACAACTCTAAATGTTTGTGTCTACACTGAATATTTTTGCCTCGTTTACATTTTGTGAGCCAATTGGTGGTTCAAACTCAGAGCAAACCTCAAATATTTGAAACACTGAAACCCACTGGGACTAGTGCTGTTTTAAAGTAGATAATGCTGACAATTAAAAAAGTAGTCAATTTCAGCCAATGTTGTCTGGCTTTGCACATCCGAAAAGGTGTTTAAAAACTCTTTTGTTTCACTTTGTTCTGCAGGAATAATGACGTACTAAGTAATGGAGGGATTTGTGATGAAAGAGGACCTGGAAGCAATACATTAAAGTAAAGGAAGCCACATATTCGGTAAGGGGAGCCGGCTTCATGTGTCTGCTGCTTCTTAAGTATGATTTATTTGAACAAGATCTAATGGTTTATCTGTCTTTGCCGCTGAAGTGTGACTGTAGTCAGCACATGCAGACCTCATTTTCGTTTGAAGCATTGTTTCAGCTAGAGTGCAGTTAAGCTCAGCCAGCAGCTTTGTGTGTTAATGTCATTCACCACAGAAAAATGATTTAAACGTCAGTTAGAAGAGCTTACAAGAGCCTTCTGTTACTTTCTTATATGATGGCAGATGAATTATAACATTTTTGTTATCGGTACTTGAACAGTATTTCGTAATTATCATAATTTGAAGATGACAACATGTGTCTTTATATTTGGAGATGTTCTTGTCTTCTGGCTTGGATTCTTTGTTTGTAAGGTAACACTAATAATGCCTAAACATTGATTTTTTTAAGCATAATAATCTGTAACAAACGTATAGGACAATTCTACACAATTGTCATAATGACAATGTTGAGATCAATATTTTATTGTCTTTAGATTAACAAAATAACAGACATTCACACAAATAAACAGGGGAGGTGGAGCAACAGACATATCAATAATTTTTCAATCTGAAAGGAGAGAAAAAAGAAAGAAAAAAAGAAAAGAGAAAAAAACATTGTATGGTCATTCCTTTATATAGTCTAAAATGTTGGAAGAAAACATTGCCATGCATTAGTGCTACTAAGTTTAGCCTTATTAATTTGTGCTATTGTACTGTTACAAGTCACTATTTTAAGGAGGCTATGAATCCAATGTTTTTGCACACATCTGTGCAAAAAAAAAAAAACAGCTTTGTGTGAAAAATCTTCTTTAATGTACTTATACTGAAATACTAGAATAGTCATAAAGACATAAACCAGAATTAGACACATAATCAACTTATAGTAAAAAAGACAAAACAGAATTTACAGTTGAAGTCAGAATTATAAGCCCCCCTGAATTAATAGCACCCTGTTTTTCCCCAATTTCTGTTTAACGGATAGACGATTTTTTTTCAACCATTTTTTAAACTTAAAAGTTTTTTAATAACTCATTTCTAATATTATCAGACATACTGTGAAAGTGTCCTTGCTCTGTAAACATCATTTGGGAAATATTTAAAAAAGAAAAAAAAATTCACATTTGAGATTGAGATGCATTAACTGAAAGATAAAAAAATAGGCTTTCCATTGATGTATACTTTCTTAAAATATTTGTTCGAGATTAAACAATTTGAAAATCTAAGGGTTCAGCGGGTCTAAATGAAGTTCTTAGCTACGTATGCATAATAATGATTAAAATGACGTTTTCATGTATGACAGTTTCAATTTATCAGAACTTCTGTTTTATTGCATAAGCTGCATTACATTGTAAAAGCGCTATATAAATAAACACGAATTGAACTGAATATATATACTGTAGGAAGCATCTTATCGGAACATGACATTTTTTTGAGAAAAAAATACATTTTGATGCATACCATTTATTTTTCTCTGTTGCCAAAAAATATCCGTACAACAAAACAATCAGGCAAAAACAAAGTTTGTTCCAGGGTTTTGAAAAGACATTCCAAGTAAGCTTTTTTTTTTTTTAAGTTTGTTGCGGCTTTTAAACATCAAAATCAAAATATCATTGAATATTAATGACACAGTTAGGCGTGGTTCTGGAGCACCATCTTTATTTATATTGAAATCTCATCCAGTTTATTTTTTTGTGAAGTCTGTGAGGTCTAACAAAATATAAACTCTGAAAAGTGTTTTTTAGTGAAAAATAATAAAAAATACTGTCAGATTATTTCATTTTAAACACTGTATAAATAACCTAAAATGTGTTAAATGACTTTACATGCAGCCCAAAAGTTTAACGCTTCTGCAGACATTCTTTAGGCTTTGTATTAAAGTGAATGCTTTCTTATCTACTGTTTTCTGGCTGCTGTAATTTTAACTGAATTTCTTTTTGTTAATAATAGAAAAGTGTGCAGTACATTTTTATCTATCTGGGACTACAAAAAATAACACATGTAGTGGTAAACTGGAGGGCTTCACATGTATTTACAGTTCACCTGGTTTAATTATTTTGTAAGTGTCTTCCTGTAACCACGATATTATGGTAATTATTGTAAACATTCCTGCAAAAAATTAATTTAGAGAAATACTAAGCTATTATGTCCTAATTGTAACTGACATACATCCTCATATCTCATAGTTTCATATGATGAGATGTTCCTGGAATCCAGCTTTAGTTATGAAACTGGTTTGGCTTCTTCATTGTTGCTATTTTTGTATTTTGTAAACCTTAATAGACAGGTTTGTTGTGTTTGTTGGGTGTTACGGAAATCACAGAGATACATGTAAACATAAGGGCTTAGTCTTTGTGATCAGTACACTTATCGTGATAACCAGCTCTGGACCCTTTCTGAGACAGTAAGAAGGATAGTAATAGCTTAATGAACAAGTCGCTGCAGTTGTTTTCCTCTGCGGATGGTCATTCGGTATCCAGCCCAGGACTCTAGCAATGATATCACCTCTTGCAGTCAGGAAGCTGCCAGTCTGCCAAGAGCCTTTCCCACGGAATCACCTCACTCTTCCCACTGCATGGCTTGAATGAGAGACCTCTTTGTGTCTGACACACAAACTTAGAAATGGAGATGGAGAGACGGAGTAAAAGAGGAACAAAGGGTAAGTTCTGAGGAGTTGGAAACTTTTAAGTAGATCAAAAGGTACATTTGGAGCCAGTTCAGGGCAGGAAACTCGATGAAATACAATGAAAGATGTCCACCAAGAACTCAAATGCAAGAACAGCACGATATATGAGTCTGGAATTTGTCAGCACATGTATAAATCGTTGTTTGATCCCCATTTTGTCTGGTTATTGCTCTGGGACATGCTATGTGGGGTGGAGCTGGCCACATCCTGTGGAGCACTGGCCTCTGCCTGCTCTCTCTGAGCTTGTGTTTATTCGCTTCTCATGAACGTATGCCTAGGGATCTGATGAAGGCACCCATCCCGTGTTGTGAAGGGACCTAGATATGGTTAATATGCAATTTTGAGAATCGATAAAAGCATGGAATCGGATCTGAATGGTCATCGTTCAACCTCCACTTCTGCAGTGGCATTCAGATGGTTTGGGTTTGTTGGTGTGTGTGCTGCAGTCTGCGGTAACAAGAGGCTATATTTTAGAGTGTGCTTTCTCACTGTTTTCCCCGCTTTTGCAGCTGTGTCTGTAAATGTCGTTTTTCTGAGCCTTTCCGCAATCCTTTCAGGCATAGCAGCATGGGACTGAGATAAAAACACTTTGACATGAATAAACTGTCAGTCAGATTTCAAGGGCTTTTATTGTTGTTATTTTTAAGTTTGTGCATTTATTCTGGTTTAATGTGTTTAACTCTGGATTCTCTGTGCTGTCAGTGCGTCAGCCACTGTACTATGGGGGTTAGACTTTTCAGACAAGTTTCAAAAACAGTTCATAAAGAGTGGATGCAAGCTCACAGATGTTACTGAGAGATTCGGTTTGACTGAGTGAATGATTCAGTGGTTTGTTTATAAAAATAGTTGATCAATTAAACAATAGATTAAACAATAGCTCAGTTGAATACTGTACACTCATGATGATGTTTAGTCTTTAGGACAATAAAAAAACGTTCTATGTTCAAAAAAGTATGAATTTATGTAATCTGTATGTACTACATTCACCATGTTGTCATTATCAAGTGACCTTCTAATGTCACACAACCTACCTACACGCAGAGCTGCAACATTCTCTTCTAAGTTAAAAAAGATTTGTCCTAACCATCTGGAACGGGCATGCTTGAAGTTTCCATTTTAGAAACAATTTATTTTTCTGCAACATTGAAAAAACAGCCTAAAGTACTATGACAATGATCACCTCAGATACTGTTTATATGCTGTATTCAGTGTTAGTGTTGTTTCAAATGTGAGCTGAACACCATTTTGCGTGACATATATAGTCATACTGAAAGTGCCATCAGATAGTTTACCTCATATCTTGAAAATTAAATATAGCAGATGTATAGTGTATGCATGGCTTAGTGCTAACCAACACCATTAGTCACACAGCAGCATGTATTTTTAATAGTGTTCATGAGATTTTAAATGTATTGATTAGGTTACAGACCTATCTACTATAACTATGGGAGTGCAGTGCACAATTCTTTGCTTCTGAATGTCTGTGGTATTTAAGATGTTTCTGTTGTCGCATTTAAAAAAAAAACAAATGGCTTGTCATTGGAATCTTGCGACTTCACATGTTGTTTGTAAATGATGTCAGTTATCCCTCTATATTATGACCAACGACAAAACATCTTCTGTGCCCTCAAAGTGTTCGTTCTATGCACTTCAGAATTCTATTTGTATTTTATTCATTTTATATATAAAGATATGCGGCTGTGTTCACATACTGTTTTTCGACTAGTATAGTATAGTATAGTATAGTATAGTATAGTATAGTATAGTATAGTATAGCATGGTATACTATAGTGTAGTGATTTCAGCTCCAGTCAAAGGTTTAAGGACTTTTGCTTGTTTAGTTTCTGAATTAATCTGGTTTTGGAACAAATCAATTTGTAGTGAAAAATGTAAAGGGTCACAAAACACATCTTTTAAGATGTTGACAGTCATATATATATATATATATATATATATATATATATATATATATATATATATATATATATATATATATATATATATATATATATATATATATTTAGTCTTATGCTGCTAAAAACACTATTAGGACACAAATATTTCACACAAAAAAAGTGAAAATTGGTTGTTTTTGCGTTATTTTGAGCAAATTCATTCTTCCGGCTAGAAAGGAAATTTTGAAGCTGCATCATGGCCATGTGATCATTGTGTAAATTCCAGCCTGGAGACTGGATGTCTGCTAACACGCTCAAAAATATGTTTGTAGGGAACATTTTTTACCTAATAGCTTTTCTGGAAATGATGAAATCGATATTTGCTACTCATTTCCTTTTAAAAAGATGCGGTTCCAGTTTGTGTTGATTGTCCTGTCTACAGATTTAGTAAGTGTGCGGCCAATGTTTTTTGTTTATGTTTATCGTCAGCAGTACTCTTTCAACTTTTAAAGACATACCATATCTTAATGATTTAGTTACTAAGTTAATAGTAATATCACTACAATATTATGGACTAGAAGATCTGCTGTAAATGCTGCTCTCCAAATGTAAACATGTAAACACCTTAATCAAACTATTACTGTCGTGTAGGACTTTTGCTGCCTATGATTTTCACCACATTTTGTGACAGAATAGTCTGTTTACAAATGGCTGTTTGATCCTATTCTCTGCACCTATGCCGAGAAATTACATAAAACTCTGGAGGAAATGTGGATTGCGTGGTGACGAAATGATGTTATTGGTATTATGTGCATGTAAAACGGGATCATTAAAGGAACATTCAAAAAGCAACTCATGTAAATACTTTAATTATATTATGATGTTATTCAGATTAAGGCAAATCATTTGATAACTGATGTCCATGTAAATGTAGTCACAGTCTATCTACCCTGCATCTGTGTTTGTGTTGCCATTGTGAAAACCAGCGCTTGCACGTAAAAGCTTGACTCACCCACTTTCTTGACTTTTTTAAACTAGAGATGTGGGGGGGGGGGGGGGGGGGGGGGGCATGACCCTTTAATTATTAGGCAAGTGTATATTTTTGGAAATGAATCAGCATTGGTGAAGCAGTGGCGCAGTAGGTAGTGCTGTCGCCTCAAAGCAAGAAGGACGCTGGGTCGCTGGTTTAAGCCTCGGCTCAGTTGGCGTTTCTGTGTGGAGTTTGCATGTTCTCTATGCGTTCGCGTGGGTTTCCTCCAGGTGTTCCGGTTTTCTCACAGTCCAAAGACATGCGATACAGGTGAATTGGGTAGGCTAAATTGTCCATAGTGTGTGAATGTGTGTGTGGATGTTTCACAGAGATGTGTTGCGGCTGGAAGGTCATCCGCTGCGTAAAAACTTGCTGGATAAGTTGGTGGTTCATTCCGCTGTGGCGACCCCGGATTAATAAAGGGACTAAGCCGACAAGAAAATGAATGAATGAATCAGCATTTTTGTATGAAATTAGTTGAGTAATGAGCAAAGACTAATTTTTAAAGAGCTTATTTTCTTTGTTAATAAAGCAGTGTATGTAAGAAGTCAACAGAGTTACCTGTTGACATTTTGTTTTGTGAAATGTTTGAACCAATCGATTGAGTGAATGATTTAATGAGTTGTTGCTTGCTTCGTTTTTAAATGAATCAGTATTTTTGAACAATTGGTTGAGTGAATGATTCATAGACATTTCAGTTGTTTTCTTTCTGAATTAATTTGTGCGGAAAAAAGACACATGAACTAATCAGTTTTTGTTTCTGAAGTAACCTTCCAGATCACAGCTTTTATCCCTGTCTGTGAGTTTTGTAATGCTATGTAATGTGTGTGCATGTTGGATAGCACACTGGTGTTGATTCTGAAATGCGGTGACTTTAGTGTACAGAGTGTGGAGTGTGAAGTGTTGTTGTCCTTTAGGGCTGCTGTCCCCCTCTGGTGGGTTAAGCTCTCAGACTTTGAGCAGTACTGGATTTTGTCCAGCTTTTTTTTTTGTGAGGTGGAAGGCCATATAGCAGCAGGGTCCTAACACAGTGCCAGACGACTTCATTATACAACAGAAACACAGTCTCAATACCCTTTCCCTTCCCCTTCTCGCATACTCTCTAACCACTGCATCAGACTTGAGGGTGATTTATTTGTGTAATGCTTTGAATGTTTGGTTGTGAGATGGGCTGTAATTGTCCTAGTTACTGTCTCTCTAGCATATATAGTAGATGTTCAATATGTTAACAATTAAGTTGCCTCTAAAATATTCTCCCAGCAACACGAGGATCTCAAGAGACTTGCATAATGATAATTAAAATCTTTTTCGGTGATTTATAAACTCCCAACATTTTTTATACTGCAAAGGGACATTTTTTTATTGTTGCTTTTTTCTTTAGACCTAAATTTGTTTGGTGTTGCTCACAAATCTCATGACTTGTGCATATTGCATGTCTGGTTTCATTAGCTGTGAAACACACTTTGGGTGTCTGAAGAGCAACACATTTCCAGTCCAACAGGATTGGAAAGACTACGTCATCCAGAAACAAGCTGCGACTTCCTCTGTCAGTTACACTAAAGGAACTTGGGGAAGTAAAATTCATTTCTCAATTTCTTAATGCATGTACGTGCGTTCTGTGGTGGGGGGTTTCGCTGGGGCACTTCAGATCATTAGGGAAGGGCACTTTCTATCCAAGATTAAAAAGGGCATGTGCACTGCACAGGTTGAGCCCTATGTGTGCACGTGCCTGCCTCACAGCAAGAAGGTCCCATGTTTGAGCCACGACTGTGTCAGTTTGCATTTCTGTGTGGATTTTGCATGTTCTCCCCGTGTTTGCGGGGGTTTCCTCCAGGTGCTCTGGTTTCCCCCACAGTCCAAAGACGTGCTATAGGTGAATTGACTCATCTAAATTGGCCAAAGTGTATGTGTGTGTGGGTGTTTCCTAGTGTTAGGTTGTGGCTGGAAGGGCATCCGCTTCGTAAAACATATGCTAGATAAATTGGTTCATTCCGCTGTGGCCACACTAGATTAATAAAGGGACTGAGCTAAAAAGAAAATGAATGAAT